TTATCAACACTAAATATACATATATAATGTTGTTGTAAAATAATTAAATAAGCATAATATATTTTCTTTAATAATATTTGTTTAATGTTGATCCGATTTCCCATGTTTTTCCTGATTTTTCACATTTGCTGGGAAATCTTCTAAAAAAAATCGAAAAATTACCTCTCTAAAATACCTCCCCACTCAGATTTCCATTTAGAAAAAGTGCCATCATTGTAAATCTGAGCGAAATCGCTGGTGGAAAAGTTGTCCACGGAAAATAAAAATCGTAATATTTTACTAATATAATCCATATTTCGTATATTTTCCCGTTTTTTTTTTTCGTTTTTCAAAATTTAATGAGAAAACTCCTGAGAAAATAAAAAAATGACTTCTCTAAAGTTCCTACCATCCCGAGAAAATTTCCTTTCGGAAACGTATTTACATCGTATACATCGGAGCAAGATTTCTAGTACAATTTTTGTACAAAGCATAAAAAAAATAATAATAATAATAAAAATAAACATCTTTGAAAAACTTTGTAAAATGTATACATTTTTCGCTACACTCAGAATCTAAAAATATAATTAATATATTATTTATTATTATAAATGCTTAGACCTGCGCCTATAAGTTCGTCCGGCTTTCGCGTGGCCTTTTCAAAAATACAGTTAAAATTATCCGACGGGAAAACTATAGACGGGCACGCCTATTAGTATTGTACAAATTAAATTTAGATATCAATAAATTCTAACGTGAAATATACACTCGTGTTATATTATAATATGTTGTCGAGTTATCAGATACAAATCATGCAGTGTATGGTTTTTTTTTTCTGAACATTTCGTCTTTTTGTCGTTTAGATTTGTTTAATGTCATTTTTGGTCGGTTTATTAAATTCCATCTGTATATAGAACTCGCGGTATTGAAGATAAAACATCACCGTGTATTATATTATCTAGCCAACAACGCTGGAGAATTTCATTCGAAAATTGTCGATTTTTTTTTTGGATATCGCTACTACGAAAAAAGTTGTTTGAGTTTAAAAACAGTGCAATTATCAAATTTTAAATCAAAACTAATATTTTTTTTTTTTGTACCTACTAGTAATATCGAAAAATAAAAATATCTTAGGGCGGGATAGGGTAGATTTGAATTATGCACATAATAATATTTATATTCTTTCGTTATAAGTTACATAAAATGAATACGGAAGAAAATTTAAAACGGTCGCACTGTTTTTCATTCCGTACATTGCATCAGGCGTTTCCGATCACTTATGTAATGATGAGAAATTACAGTCAATTTTATAATTTGAATAGAACATTTTATTTGGTTCGTTATTAGTTTATATTATAAACATTCAAATTTACCCCCTTATATTTGTACTATACAGTATACACATCACAAACGCAGATCCAAATCTGCTCCGTCCTGCCCTGCGTCACGGTGCAAATTCTTTTTTTTCTTTTTTTTTTACGGTAAAGTTTTACCCGAGTGGTGAAACTGAACATGAAACGGTTTTCACAAAAAATCGTACGAACGTTGTTCGTCTTGACATTTCGCGTATATTTTTCGTAAAGAAAAAAACCGTTATTTATTATAAATGTATAAATGGTTATCTCCCCTACACATAAGTCAGAATATAATTATATCCGTCGTGATACCTAACGATACGTGGGTAGGTACCTATAAAGTGCCTACGCAATAAATAATACGCAAATGTCTCCGGCGATTTTTTATGCGTTTTTGTTTTTATACGTGCAACTAGCATTCAATTATGATGTCATATATTATATTACAGGTTTACTGTTCGGTTGAAAAGAAACAAAAAAATAATAATTGACACGCGCACATGAGTTTACAAATAAATCATAGGTATAGATAGGTAGTATACATATTTTATTGTGATAAACGACCACCTAGGTACTTGCCCGTATACACGAGCTCTATATTGCAGAGTGTTGGATATTTTAACGGCGCCTGAACAGCAATAACATATCCAGTAAAATAATAATAATATACGTAGTTTTGCAGTTTGCTCGTCGTCTGAGGTCTCATCTTTCGAGAAATATTGCTTGCTCTACATATTATATGTATAACAGGGGTGGCCAACATGAATATGTTCGCGAGCCACATATTACATAAATGCAATGATATCAAGAGCCGAAATAATTTTAAACACATTTTATAATGGTGTATAATTTGATCTAATCTGTACTTTTATAACACAAAAGTAATAAATATACCTAACAACCTGTAAACCTATATAATTATCAAATTGCGTATCGGTTCAATATTGTTTTTTTTTTCTGATTAGATTACGAGTTTTTTAACGATTTACAATACACAAATATTAAAAATTGCGCAGTAAAATTGATTTTTGGAACGACACATTCATGTAAATCGCTTTATTCAACAACGAAAGTAATCAAATCGAATTATCGTTCAAATTTGACTGATCATCTCAGAATTACTGAGAACTGCTCTTACATCAATGCAAGCAGATCTTAAGAGACTCAAGAAGCTTACTGAAAAATTAGACGTGAAAAAAATACCACGCAAACAAATTTAGCTGAACGTTTATTTTTTTTTATTTATTATTCATATTAATTTATTATGTATATTTGTTTATTCTTTATTCTATATAATAAAAACATTTTTTTTTTTCTTAATATATATTAAAAAAAATTTTAATTCATAATAATAAGTAAATTTTGGTTTTTGTAAATAAGACGCGAGCCGCAAGTTAGCCACCCCTGATATATAATATAATATATAAACAATTTTAAATGCGTTCTTGTATACTTAACTACACATTTTACTGGTCGTAAAATACAGAAAACAATTATTAACATATTATAATACGTCGGACGCATAAAACGATTCTAACGACCTTGCGACCGTGCATAACGCATCCGCTGTAGCTTTAATAGACGAACAAAAATTGGTTTAAACACACACACACAATAAAAAATACCTTTATAGGTAATATACAAAAAAAAAAAAGCTCGAGTACTATTTTATGTCCTATTCGAAGGCGACAGAATCGTGAGTATATTTGCTGTTTTCACTACAATAACATTTTGGTGTCATATTCGAATTTCATATAGTTCACGATGTATTTATAATAACTATAAGTATACGTGGAAGTTGTTTACAGTAAAAAAAAGCCGAAATGTTTTACAAAACGTTCGTACATTTTCCCGTTTTTTTTTTCTTTCGGTTTTTCCAATATTTCGAGAAAACTCCTGAGAAAATCAAAAATGACCTCCCTAGATTACCACCACACATTCAGAGTTACTTTCAGAAAAAATGCTACACTTATAAATCGGAGCAATATTTTTGGTAGATAAGTTGTTTACAATAAAAAAAAATAATAATAAACATCATTGTAAAACCATTAGCTTCTTTGTTCCACTCAGAATCTAAAATGGGGTGAACGGGCTTATAGTGAATCATCCCATGTAACTGTATGTATTTTATTTTTAATTACACGAGCAATTGCCCTTTAGTATGCATATATCATTTCTACAACATTTAATAATACATGTTATATAACAATATAACATGAAGTTATCAAACAAAATATAAATTAACTTAATCAGTTACCAAAGGTGGAGTCAACGTTAGCACTCGCCATTAGATGCCTAATAAGTTCGTTTTTTAAATAATTTGTGTAGAAATGAGGTATATAGAATGGAATGGTGGTGCTTGTTGCCTGCTGGGGTACCTTAAAACATAAAAGTGACAATATACCAGGCGATTCAATATTGCCATCCAATAGACCACTTATAAATTTAATTTCAGCAGTGTACCTACGCTCAGCTAAAGAGGAAAAGCCAAGCAAGTTAGCTACAGAGACATTATCGTGTAGAGGACAATGTATTTTGAGTATGAAACTGACAAAACTCAAAACCATTCATTGAATTTGCTCAAGCTACAGTGAGTCATTGGCAGCATAAGGATCCCATACTATACAACCATATTTAAGAATAGGTCTGACAACACAACAGAATAACACTTTTAAAAACATTTCTTACTTAAAATCTTCAGCCAATCGCATAATAAAACCAACCAAGTACTCTAAATGCTTTGCAACATACAAAATCTATTTGCAACTTGGGTTCAAGATTATAACTAAATTTAAAGCCAAGATCCATAATAGAATTGAACTCGCGCAAAATATTTGTTTCATGAATTCTATAACTGAAATCAATTGGTAGTTATACCCTATAATATATAAAGACCTTACATTTGGGTAAATTAAGTAATAAGCCCATTTTATTGGACCAAACAAAAAAATCTATTAATGTCAGCTTGAAATTTCAGACAGTCCTCAATTGAGCATATTCACATAAAGAATTTAATGTCGTCAGGAAAACATAGAAAATGGCAAAGGTGCAGAAAATTATGGACACAGTTCAAAAATATTGAAAAAACAATGGGAGACAGGTGACACCAGATGAGGCTAGAAATACTTTAGACTTAATGCCGAACACTTTAACTTATTGATACCTGTCAACGTGATAGGAACTAAACCAGAACAGTAACGGATCACCGAATCTATATTGTTTAAGGACAAGAATAAGGGTGCCATGGTCCACTGAGTCAAAAGCTTTCTAAAAGTCGTTATATGTTACATCTACTTGGGATTGTTTTTAAAAAGCATTAAAGATCTAGCTGAAAATTAGAAGATTACAAGTGGAAGCAGAACAACCCGGACGAAAACCATGCAGCTCTTCCAGCAATATCCAGAATATTGTTTGTTGGTCCTTGACATCTATTAAGGATTAGCAATGGCCCTAAATCATTAAAAAGTCCTGTTTATTCAATTTCTTTTGTTTAGAAATGTATTGTTGGTAAAAAAAACTAGTCCATAATAAGATTTATGTATTTAAACATTTACATACAAATATTATAAATTATAATTATTAACACTTAAATTACTAAAACTGTATATTAAAAATAAATTTATACAAATTATAAAATAATGTTAAATGTATAATTATACACAGAGAGTCCCCATATAATAATTATTACCTGTTGTTAGATGATTAATATTATTAAATACAATGAAATAGGTTCAAAATTGCACTCCAATAAACTTTTCACAAATTGACTATTTAATGGTTATTTAATTAATATTTATAAATTAAAGAATTTAATAAACAAGTAGACAATATAACCTATACAATCAAAAATATATTGATACTTAGATTTTTTAAAATATGTGATTAAATATTTCTACTAATATAATTTTTTTTTTAAACTGTTTGATTATCTAAATAAAATATTTAAAGTATTTTCTGAAGATTAAATTCACAGATTTCAGTCTGAATATTCAACATATAAAACCAGTTTTAATTTTAAATATAAACACCGTTTAAATAATGTTTAGTTTAATAAATCATATTTTTTACAAAATATAGTAGTTAGTCATTAATGTCCATTAATGACTAACAGCTACCTAAATTCACGAGAAAAAACTTAAAATTAAATAAAGTACTACAATCAATTAAATAAAAATAAATCAACAGTTATAAATATATTTACGAATATTTTATGTAACTGTGTCTGTATCATTAGGAACTAATTTCCCTTGGCAAGTTGTATTCATTTCGGGACTCCAAGATTGCTCTCTTGGTTTTTTTTCTATAACCAACTTCAATTTTTTTTTGGGCGATAAAGATATTGGTGTAATTCTTTTTTTTCCATCAACAATATTAACTTTTTGTTCTTGTTTAAATAATTTCTTTGGCTCAGTCATACTTTGATCAACTTCTGTACAAAGTCTAATGATAAACAACAGCAATTGTAATTTAGGATTGAAATTATAATTTTACAACACAAAATAATAAAATATCAAAATTACTTTTCCACTAAAATGGGATCTTTTTTAGAGTGTTGAGGTGTCAAAAAACTTGTTATTTTTTTAACTGTAGACTTAGTTAATTTTGAAACATCAGTTTCCACATTGTTAGGGTACTCAATTCCATATTTCTCAAAATTATCTTTAGTAACAAACCTAAATAAAAATATATACATTTTTTTTTTTTAGTTAATACAGAATAAAATAATTTAAGTGTTATATTACCATGGTGCAGCATGTGTAGATTTTGTCGCAATAGAGAATATAGTATTTTTAATCATAGCTAAAGAAATTGAACTATCATCAACAATATTACGGCCATTATTAACAAGCTCATTAAAAAAATCCTTAGAAATTTTCTTGAAATTTGTTTTACCATGTACAAATGAAATAAGATCAGGAATAACTAAATTATAGACAAAAAAATATCAATAATTAATAAATTATGATTATAAATGAAACAGATTTTCTAAAGTAATATTTTATTAATTTTTAGTATCAATAATTTGAATACTAAAAATTATTTCATAAAAAATTTAAATGAAAATGTAATGAAAAATACATTTATATTTTAAAAGATATGTGAAGTCTTTAAATAAATGCTAATAGTATAAAAAGACGTCCTAAGATAATGGGGACAAGTGTAGCCACTGTTATATATGAATAATTTAATGTATACCAATGATAAACCATTGCTTACAAAAAAACGATTCTGAACGGAGTTCAGTTAATAGTGATGCTTTGTCAACAATATACATATCATTTTATAGTAAAGTAATTAAATAGGCTTTATATATTTTCTTTAATGATATTCATTTAATGCTGTACCGATATTCTTGGTTTTTCTTTATTTTATCAACATTTGTTGGAAAAACTTCTAAGAAAAACGAAAAACTACTTCTCTAAAGTACCTCCCCGGTGAAATTTCCTTTTAGAAACATTTCTATCATTAAAAGTTGGAGCAAAATTGTGTGTAGAAAAGTTGTTAACAAATAAAAAATAATAAAAAATCTTTGTAAAACGATAAGCTTCTTCACTCTAATCAGAATATAAAATAATAAAAATGTGTAAATAGAACAAAAAAATAAAAATAAAATATTAACGTTTTAAAAACAGTTAGGTAAATTTTATTTAAAATGTAAAGATCAATTTTAATCAACTAGGTATATCTGAAAAAATATTTTATGATACTAAAAAAAAAAAAAGTATATATACTTGAATCAGGAAGTAATGCAGTCTTTTTGTTTTCTGATATCATATCATTTGATGAATCTATTATGGTCGGTGTATCTGTTATAATGGGTTCTTCATTGTCCCAAACACAACGATATTTTAAAAGTGTATCAGCTACAGATTTGCTAACTGAAATTGTATTTATAATATTTTGAATATATTTAATTAAATACAATATTCAGTTTAATTAATATTAAAAATATTTTTAAAACATTATTAAAATGTACCATTTTCTAGGTTGATAACATTATTAGGTACCCATATACAACCAACTAGTCGTGGTTTAATACGTTCTGTTTTTTTTTTAATTTCTGCTTCAAATTCTTCACCTAGCAACTTGAGCTTTTCTTTTTGTGTTTCCTCAGACTTTAAAATAATAACAATGGTAAAAATATTATTATGTTTTTCTTGTTATTTAAAAACTTTATACTTACAGAATTATCACTATCATGATCACCTTCTTCATCACTTAAATAGCCATGTGGTACAAAAATATCATTATCAACTTCATAATCATCTTCAGGCTCTTCTTCATCATCAGTACCATGTATACTCTCCCCAGGATCTTCTTCTTCCCACTCATCATCAGAATCTATTTCATAGTCAAACATTATCTAATAAAAAATAAAATTCAATGGTAATAAAACAAAAAAGATCCATATCATTAAAAAAAATTGTTTGTACTTTATCACAAGCAAAAGGTCTCCTTGGTTTAACGTAAAGACTTTTTTTTCTCCATGTTCCCCAATATGGAGGGCGTTTATTTTCTTTAAACTGTAATAATTTCCAACAATTCTTTGATCTAGTACTAATTTTATTCACATTTTCATCTTCACTGTTTGCTGAACCAGTTTCTAAATAAATTGTAATTTAGTTTTAAATATTAATTTTGATTGATCAAAAATACATTTTTATTATTTAGAACTAAAATTAATAAGCCCCTTACCGCAATGAAAAAAGTCGTATCAGTTTTCATGGGTGATAGAGATAAATTGTTTCTTATAAAAATATAGTCACAATTCAAAAATGAAAACAATCGAGAAATGGTCTTTTTTATTGGGAATCTTTGTCAATTACGTGTGTAACAATTAGTCCCAGAGAAGATTGAATCAATTCTTGTATATAGTTTTAAATACAAGCGAATTCAATTTTAGATTCTATGTGGAGCGGATGAAATTCTCATTAATATTCGAGATAATGAGAAAAACATTGTTCTTTAAGTTAAAAAAAGATTTAAAAATTACAAAGGACAAACATACTTTGAACATGGATGCAGCCACTGTTGTAGGTGAAAAGTTGGGAAGGCAGGTTACAGACGGGAATATAATGTATATCTGTAAACAATAATAAACCACTGCTAACCAAAAAAACGATTCTAAATTGAATTCAATTGTTAATGTTGCTTTGTCAAAAATGCAATAAATGGTATTAAGTAATTTATGATAAAATGATTGAAATAATGTTCGTTTCCATGACAACAGTGATTGTTTCAAAATAATAAAAACTTAATAATAACAAAAAACAAATAAAAAAAGGTTTTCAATGACAACCTTATTTCATTTTATATCTTTCAATCTTTTTAACCTAAAGACCGAGGTTTTCCACATTATTTCGAATATTAATGAGAATTTCAAAAAATGACCTCTCTAAAGTACCACCCAGAGAAAATTTCAGAAAAAAAGCTATATTTGATAATCAAAATATGCTATCTGGTAGAAAGTATTTCCATAAAAAAAAATAATAATAATAAACATCATTATAAAACCAATACAATCATTATTCTACTTAGAATTTAAAATAAGGTTGTCATTGGCAATCGTTTTTAATTATTTTTTGATATTTTATCTTTTAAAACAATCATTGTTGTCATGGAAACACACATTGTTATAATTATTTTACCATTTTTCATATTTTACCATAATATATAATATGACAAATATTGTTGACAAACCAACACTATCAACTGAACTCCGCTTAGAATCATTTTTTTTCGTTAGCAATGATTACAGATATACATAAAATTCTCGTCTGTATCCTATCTTCTCAACTTCCCACCAACAAAAATGACTACACCCACGTGCGATCTATCCTTTTTAAAATTGACCTAACCTAAATACAGGCATTCTCAAACAAGGTTGCATAAACGTTCTGTAATGACTTACAAAACCATTAGCACACTTACAGACTTGTAATTTGTAAACCACTTAGGTAGCTTAGATGGCCACTTAAAATACTTAGATGCGGTTGCAATTTACAGAACCACATCCAAATCTACAACTTCTTACAGAACAATTTTAAGGTAAATATTATCAATGTTATTGAAGAAATGAAGTACCTATATATTGTTTAATTTATCCAGTAACCATAGTAACCAGTAACCAAATTACAGATTTATTACAAAATTGTTCATACAACAGTGCTACATGTTATAATCATTAAAATGAACAGGTGTCAGTAAAATATGTACAATATAATTAGTGTGCAACCCAGCTTAAATGGTTTAAAGTCATATGATTACATGATATATCTTTCTGGCCAAATAAAAAATACATAATAGTGGCATATAATATTTTATTTTTCAGTATAACTTATATCATTTAGACAAAAAAATAATTTAAAAAATTACCTACATAAAACAATTACAAATAACAAAAACTGACTTCTTCCCTGTGACCAAAATATACATTTATTAATGAAACATGAAACTTATATCATTTTAATTAATAATCTGTTAAATTAAAAAAACTTTAATAAGGATGAAATAATTAAAAAAATAAAATACATACCAATAATAATAACATCTGTATCATCTTCAACATAAACAGGCCAAGTTGCTTCTGATTTTAAAGGTTTGTATTTTCCAGTTTTTAATAAATTTAAATATAATAAATCTTTATTTTCTTCACATTGATTAACACATGTATCTATATATTTTTTTTTATCACTGTTTAAATAAACTCTACAAGAAGGTGCTAATTTCATATCTTGTTTGGTCTGTTAAATACATAAAAAAAGTATTTTTGTGAAAACTGAGTAAAAATTAGAAATAATTTTTTTTAAATAATAAAAGATATTACATATAATAATTAATTGAAATAAATATAATTGATAAAATCATAATATCTCTTTAATCTACAGTTAGTTATCATCCAAGGCTTGTAACTGGACATTTAACGATTAATAAAATGAACCAAAGAGTGTAATGAACATCAGTGTTTAACTCAGTTATTGACCTTAATGACCAGACAATATGTACAGTTTGGAGTTGAATGTTATATACCAGGTTAATGTTGAACATTTATAAACTTTTAAAAGGGGAAATGACAAAATTTCCCTATTCCTATATGAACATCATATTTTACCGGAATATAAATATATTCATTATGCACTGTATTTCAAATTACCAAAAGGTTAAAAGTAACATAAATAAACTATCAATATTTTTCGTTTCCTATAAATTGTAATGCTCACATAAGTACTAAGTACAATATAATACCAATTTTTTTATTTTAAAAATTAAAGATTATAAAAGTTAAGTTTTTAATTAAAACAATTAGTATATTATAGAAGTTAAAGGAATTTGTAGCAAGTTTCTTTAGTATATCTGAAGAGACAAAGAGCATTAGTAAGGATTAAACCAAAATCAAGCAGATGCGATACATTGGTCATTTAAATGATGTATAAATTTAATTGGGGTATAAATACAGAAAAGGTTATAAAAGCATTTAATGCTGTTGAGATGGAGGCCATAAGCACCAAACAACCAACAAATTTAGATATGACCGTAAGAGATGATAATTATAGAGAGAAAAACATAAAAATAAATAAAGAAATAAAGTTTCATATCATTGACAAAAATAACTGGGCATGATTAAGAAGTACAGAAAAAGCAAAAAAATAAAATAATTAGAATAGGAATTTAGAATTGTCACATATTGGATTTTGTCAGTCAGATATAGTTGTGGATGGAAAATAAGGGGGTCAATAATACGTAACATCCAAAATAATGACCACTAATAAGTTATCAATGCGGTTAAACATTTTAGTATATGTTTTTGCTATGCAACATTTTGATAAATGATTTAACATAATCATTATTTCAAAATTAAATTTAAAAGAATAAAGTAAAATTGTATTACCTGGAAAGGCATAAAATATGATTTTTGATTTTGATCTATTATTTCTTCTTTTATTACAGAATTATCTAAAATCAAACTTTTTGGCTTAAAAAATCCAACAAAAGCTGCTTTTACTTTTTCATTTCTTTTTTTTTCTAATTCATCTCTTAAAAGCTTTTCTTTAGTTTGCTTTTCTTTTTCTAATTCTTTTGCCTTCCTTTCTTCTTCTTTTTGCTTTCTATCTTTCTCTTTCTCTAACTCTTTAGCTTTTCTTTCTTCTTCTTTTTGATTTTTTTCTCTTTCTTTTTCTAACTCTTTAGCTTTTCTTTCATCTTCTTTTTGTTTTTTTTCTCTCTCTTTTTCCACCTCGCGTAAACGTTTAGCTCTGAAATGTAACACATAAAAAAAATTATCATATGATGTAATACTAATTTAGTTTAAAAATTATACATACTCAATTTCAGCATTTCTTTTTTGTTCTTTTTCTATTTGTTTTAGGCGTTGTTTTTCAAGCTTTTCTTCTCGGGCTTTTTCTTTTTCCTTTTAAGAAATCAAAATTAATTTCAAAGAATTAAACTTCAATAATTAATAATTATAGTATAGTAAAAATTATAGGCATAAGTAAATATAGTCTATGGCCCAAATATTTTTTTTTCCAAAATATGTTTTTAATACTGAATCTAAAATTTAAAAATGGCTACTTGCACTTGACTGGTAAAATAAAAAAAAAAAAAAACTAAAATGTACAACATGTTTTATTGAAATACTTTATATAAAGTAATTTCTCTAACAGGGTTACAATTGTTTGGAAGAAGAGGAAATTTCAGAATGTATATAAAACCATTCTATTCAGTTTAAAAACTCTGAAACCCTCTGATCAGATCTCTAGCTACCCTTAGCTCCCTTTGGCATGCTAAAAAAAAATTTAATTTTCTAATGGTTTATTATTATTTATTTACTTGAAAAGTAAAATTATACAATTTGAATTATAAATTCACAGCCAGATTAATCAATTTAAAAAAAACTCATAATTAAAAACAAAATAAGTCGATTTCGGAAAAATTACAAATTTTAGAGTGTTTCTACATTGACTCAAAAAGTAACAAAAAGTAGCTATTTCTGATAACACTATCAGAACCAGTATTAAAAAACATAAATTTAAAAAAAACACTTAAACTGTAAACTAAGATGTATTCTAAACTTGTTCTATGTACTAACTTGTTTAAGTCTCAGTCTTTCTTCTTGTTTTTTTGCAGATTCTGGTCTTTTTCTTTTATGTTTGGAATCTTTTGATGTTGGTGTAGTATTTTCTGTTTTTCCATTATCTGAAGTAGAATTAACTGAATTATTTAGAAGATCTGAATCTATAGTCATAGAATCACTATCATCGATGTCCATAACATTTTCATCGATTTTTGTAGTATCCACATTGCTAATTCCTTTATTCAAATCATCAATACAATTATCTAGAGTTGTTTCTAAAATAATAGATTCTTTAAAACTATTATCTTTATTAGACTCGTCAGTACAGGTTTCTAAAGATGTTACTGAAGTAGCTGATTCTTTAGAACTTTTGTCTTCATTAGACTCGTTAATACAGTTTTCTAAAATTGTTGCTGAAGTAGCAGATTCTTTAAGACTATTTTCATTAACAACACCATTATCAATAACAATTATTTCCTAAAAAAAAAATTAAATTAAATTAAATTAAAATACGTAGGTAAGTAAATTTTCTTGATTATTTTTAATAAGGAAACTATTTAAAAACCTGTTCAAAACATTTATAATTTAAAATTTATAAGACTGTCAAATTTATATTGAACCTTAGCAAAAGATTTATTTCTAAATAAATAATAAAGATAATTCTTTTTAAATACGAAGTGGAAGGTCATTTTTATTTATTTAGAAGTAGGTACCTATTAAAAGACAGGCAATAGAAACATTATCTAATTTCCTAGTGATTATAGATTATGAGCAGAGTGTAATTTATTAAATTACCCATCATGTAAAATATGTCAATTTTTTTTTGTCTTATACTTAATAAAAATTTTTGATGATTGATTTTTTCTAGTAAAATAAATACATTTTAATATATTTATAATAGGTAATAGGAACATTTTTGGAATATTATTATTATATACCTACATAGGTATATTTAAGTTGAATGATTTATTTTTATTATTTTTATTTTTAGTAGCAATTTCATAGAATTTAAGTAAGTTAAGTTTTCCTATATTTGACAAAACTAATTCATTATGTTTTAAGCTACTTATACAAATAAGAACCTAACTCAGCATATCAAATAAACTGTTTATAATAGGTAGTTGGTTAAAAATATAATACTCAATACCTATTAAATTAATATGTTATGCCTTGCATTTAATTAGGATTTTGCCACTCGCTTGGTTTGCTCCAGTTTATAAATCTAAATTATCATTTGATTTGTTACGAAAAACAATTACGCTTATATTATAAGAAAATCACAGGATACTAATTCGACATTATTAGGATACCAAAAGTTACAAAAGTTATTTTTCAACATCAACAACAATGACAGTAAGCGAACTATAATGGCAAGATAACAATTTATCCAAATTTGTAATTCCTATATTTCCTAAAAAGTTGTTACTTTAAAAACTTCATATTATATATAAATCGAATACCTAATATAAAAACATATAGGTACTCTCTTAAAATAAAAGATTATAAATCAAAGATTGAAGTGATTTTATTGTAATTACTTTAGAATGATTTTTATTTTCATCTTCAGACTTAATAAAACACTTAGTCCCTCCATTGAGAAGTTCAATCTTAGGATTTTCAACTTGCAAATCGTCAATCTCAGTACCACTGAGTTTACGTTTGCGACACATTGAAGTCCCATCGTCACCGGGTGAATTGATCAGCTTGAACGGTAAACATCGCTGTACTAATTTCTTAGCCGGTTTGGCCGCTTTATTGGCGGACATGACTGAAAAACTAACTTCGGAGATCAGTCAAATCCCCGTAATACTTATCGGCAACGAAACAACAACTACAGTTTATAAATTTGTAACAAAACTAAAAACTAATAACTATTAAGATGAAAATAATTTTAAATAAATAAATACAGACTAACAAATTTGATTCTTGAGACCTAAATACCTAAATACCTATAATATAATTAGTGATATTATGAAGAAAAATGTAAAATGTTTACCTTATCGAGATAATGCCTTAACCTAACAATGCATTGTATTGCAGTAAAAAGGCGCGAAACAGCCCTTCTATCTTGGAACAAAATATTAACTCACATTTCTTCCTCCGTGACTTCGAAAATGGCGCGAAAGTAATTTTATTTTGTAAGTAAATGTATAGGTACCTAGATATTTAATATACAATATTACTTAGTTTAAATTTATTGTATTTTCATTAATTTTGGTAAATTCGTGTATGTAATAATTTATAGAAGTTGAAACATGTATCTAAAACAATATTTAACATTATATTATTTAGGTTAATTTTGTGTATATAATAACATTAATACCAAATTAAAAAAAAAAAAATACTTTCCAACTGAACTTAATAATTAGTTGATAGAAAGTAATTTGGTTGATCTCTGATTTTTGGGTCAGGAGGAAAAATAACAAAAAAGAAAAATTTTCTTCTTATTTCCTCATTAATAAGGAATATGCATTGATACATTCGAATTTCCTATTTTCCGAACAATTTATGTAAAAAAAAAAACAATCATTCATTCATCAAAAGAATCATTTTGATCTTATTCCCAGGAACCTACTATTTCAGTTCAATCCATACTCGGGGTTCACTTTGGGAAACATTTTGATTTTCCTAAGAACATCCTATTTTGGTTCTTAAATCAATCCAGTTCTTACCACTTAGTTTCCTCTTGACTTCCTGTTATTCACATAACCAAAACTGTCCTCATCTCCTTGTTATATATACTTCCCGCTGGCTGACACAAAAATGGGAAGTTGTTACATGAACATTTTTAAGGAATTTTCAAAATATAATTTTCCTTCCTCCTCTTCTTTAAAAAGAGTCTAGTTAGACTGACTTAACTGACAAAACTAACTTCAACTATTCCAATCATTCTAGTTTTACTAATGGATTAAAGCTAAACATTTTTATTTTAATTAAAAATCTAAAAAGCAAATAAACAAACTTTGATCTTAAATCTTTGATCATAGAACAAGAAATGCAATCGCCCACAAAAAAAGAAAACTAAATATAGAAATTTAAAAGAATGGTTATCATTTCCAAAAAAAAAGGTCTAGCATTTATAAATTTGAATGACATATAATAATTCATTTTTTTTCTAATAATCTTTGAAATTATAATTTTTAAAGGCTACAAAAATGGTACGATTTATATTATGGAATTGAACAATGTTCGTGATTTATACAAATAATTTAGATGGAAAAAGAAATTATAATTTATTTTGAACTAAATAATTTTATCGGGTGTCGACAAATCGGTACGACACGAACATAGTATAGGTAAATACTTCAGTTGTTTTAAGTACTTTTTTTGTTTTTATCACAAAGTATGAATTTTATTGAACCTCCGATTAAATTTTCAAGCATTTCTGTTTAATCCAACAATTTTATCCACGGATATCATAGATTTACTTACGTACAAAACTCGCAAAACTGTCTATACAATTTTTATAAATAGATCAAAATGTTTTGAAAATTTTACCACGTCTAGAAAAGGTAAATATAAGTTTTATCCAAATCTCAGAAAAAAAAACAGAATTGAAAATAATAAAAGCATTATTTTCGTAAATTGTCCTATTTTTCTTACAATTTTTCCAAGATTTTCCTAGATGTTATAAAAGCCACTTGAAAAATCAAAAATTTACTTTCATTAAGTACCATGTAGACAAAATTTCCTTTCCGAAAAAATACCGCACTTACATATCAAACCAAGATTTCTGATAGAAATTTTTGTCACAGTATAAAAAAAATAAACATCATTTTAAAAAATCTATTACGTGAAACTCGTTTAAATAAGTTTATATTTAAAATATAGGAATATGTATCTAATAAAGTTTAATTTTTCAAAAATTTACAGGACCAAGGTCATTTCTCTATTGGTTATTAGCTTATTATATACAGTAATGATTAATCACTGAATTTTAAATACCTAAATAGATTATATGTTCGAAAAAATAAACTTGGGCATCTAAATTTTTCTTTGATCTTGAGATCTACCTGTGCATTTCGCATCAGAGTTTTCATTTTGAATTTAAAAATAATCTGGTACCTAGATTTATCCAGTTGGTAATGTTGGTATTTTATCGAGATTTGTATAAAACTGTTTGGAATACATGATGCATATTGAAACCTGTTTTATATTAGGAAGGCCAATCAAATGGTATGTGTAAATAATGTCACAAATGTTACGACTAAACAAGACAAAAGATTACATATAGGTACATATATACAATTACAATAGTGTTCATTCTTAGATCATATACTGTATAATATGATCTAAGTGTTCATTTCAGTACCTGCCTACTTTATAACTTACAATTTTATAAACTCGATTTTAGATATTTACCTAACTAGGTATTGGTATACTCTAAACAAGCGGATACATTTTTATAGAAACTCTAGTGTATAGGCACTATATAATTTTATTTACATTATGAATACAAAATAATACATAATATATGTATTACAAAATAACATATGTCATAATTAAATAATAAAAATAACGCGAATTTCAGTATATATATCTACCTGTCTTTATAAAAATTATGTTAAACACAATAAACCCGTCAAACATATTATTAAGCAAATTACTAATTACATTTATTTATATCCACTTGTAACAAAGATAATCAAATATACTTCACTATTTTATTTTTCATGATAACACTCTCATATTTATTTTCTAAATGAACCTACTTAAGTACCTACCTATATTATATTCGTGTTATGCCGATAAAATTATTTAGTTAAAAATAAATTATAATCATAATTTTTTTTTCCATTTAAATTATTTGTATAAATCACGAAGGTTGTTCAAGTCGAATGTGTCATTTCTATGTAAAAATCCTAACCTTACAAGCTTGTTTTCTGAAGGAAAAATGGAACATTATTGCGTCCAAATATTCCATAATACAAATCGTACCATTTTGTAGCCTAAAATTGTAGTTTCAAAGATTATTAGAAAAAAAATGAATTATTAATATGTTATCTAGATTTATAAAAGCTATACCTTTCTTTTAAATTTCTATATTAAGTTTTCCTCTTTTGGGGTCGATTGCATTTTTTGTACTATGAGATCAAGCTCTAAGTTTGTTTATTAGTTTTTAGCTCTTTAATTAAAATAAAAATGTTTGGCTTTGATGATCATAAAAATTAAATTTATATTTTATTAAACTAAGACTTGTCGGCAAATTGGTAGGTACGTTTCTATTTTTACCAGACACTGGTTTCTACGTCAGCAAATCGAGCCTGAATCATTATATTAGGTATATTTGTATAATTCCACCTTCTATTTAGATACATTATTAAATTCATTTAAGATATTATTATTATTATTATTATATCGCTGCATACTACCAGTTTGTTTTTAAAAAACACCATAATACCATACTTACATGAGTTGATTTTCCAATGGATTATTATGTTGATGATTTATAGTATGGGTTCTAATTACAAAGTCAGAAAGTTAGGTGTTTAAATCCATGTCTCCGAAGTCTCTTACACTTAGTTTTTTTCTGGCATATTTCAAAAAAATAGGAATCTATATCTTTTGTGAGATCACTGATATTTGTATTGATAGGCAACAAAACAAAACTGATTGTGTAAGAATAATCAGCTAGAAGGTTTGGGTTTTACTTTTTCCCCAAAGATTAGCTACATATATTAATGTAGGCAGGTGCATAATAAAATATAATCCATAGGATGACCATTGATATTTTTTCGCATAATATATAAGAATATTTTATCATTTTCATAATTAGTTTATAAGTTAGGACTTGTATTTAATTATCTTTAAAGGTAGTATAGGTAAATATTAAAAGTGTATTTATATTGTCATAATATGTCACGATAAATATTGTTTAATACGTTTTATAAAACGTTTAAACAATAATTTTACAACAATATTTTTTAAAAAAATTATTTTATTTTTTATGTTTTTAACCAACTACCAAATATTGGTAAGAAAAAAATTGTACTCCTTTTCAGTGTAGGTCTTAAACATAGCATACGAAATATAACATTGCATAAAAATAGAACAAAATAATATTTTAATATTATTAACATACCTAAGTATTTAATAAATCCAATCACTGTAAAATTTTGTTGGTCTGTGTTCTCTCCTACCATGATGCACGAGATATATCATTGCAAGATGTACCTACATTCTTGGAGTGCATGTTATCTAGAAGATTTATTAGATATTTCACTAATTATTTGACGTTTGGTTAGTGAAACTATACATAATAACTATACAAAATTTCATATCAGTAAAATAGAAGTTAAATTATGATTTAAAAATATTTATAATTAAAAGACAACAAAAACATAGCAAACAAAATACTTAATAACTTTTTTCTAAAATTATGCAAAAAAAAAAAAATAAAATAAAATAAAATAAAATAGTAATAATAATAAAGTATAAGTAAGTAAATTATACTAAAAATTGATTAGTCATCAATGTAATACTTAAATATGAATTAAAAATGATTAAAGAAAAATGATACTTAAAGTAATACTAAACAACTGTTATTTGGAGTTCTTTGGCAGTTGTGAACCCAAAAATATATATGTAGTATTATTGTTAAAAATAAAGCGTTTACAATCTTTTCTGTACAATACAACTTTATCTAATAAAAGAGAATATTTCACTACTAAAATAAAAACAATTCATATTAAAATTCACACAATTCAAAAATAAGTCCTTAACAAGGAAATATATAGGACTATAAAATAATTTATGTGGCGCACATTTTGTCAGAATTGTATTTTTACAATTATTATAAAACAAAATTGTTCAATGTGCAATTTTATCACATTAATAATTTAGGCCTGCAATTTAATAATAATAAAAAAATGTAATCAACAAAAATATTATTTTTATAAATATATAAATATGTGTACAAATATATTGCTTCAATAAATTATGTGATAAGTTCTTGTAATTTCCTCACTGTGGTTTCATTCAAAGCACAGAGATCAAAATCAAATGTTTTAGTAGTTACTTCATAATGTCCAGTTTCAGCTATTACTGTAACTACCCTTTGTAGGTCTTCATCTTCTAACGTCATTATTTTATGCTGAAGATATTTTAATGAATTTATATATTCATCAGTGAATTTGCTATTCGGAGAAGGAGATCTTGAAATATCAGAACAGGTTTCTTGCATCTGCTCGGAAATATCAGGTCTACTAGGTCTTGGTTTAGGTTCTTCGGAATCTCGTTCCTTCTTTTTTCGCTTTTTCTTTTTTGTAAAACTATTTTCAGGGGAAAGTTTTTTTTTGGAAGATTCTGGTTCTTTAGCTTTGGGTATTTCTTGTCGGTATGATAGTTCACTATCCTCAGACGGAAATTCTTCTTCAGACTCAGGTTCTGGTTCATGAACTCTTGACGAATTTGCTTTAGGTGGTGGTGAACATTCTAGAATATCATCCTTCATTTTTGGAAATTCTTCTATTGAAGTGATTGTTTGAGGTACATCAAGGTGTTTAAAAGAAGATGTTTCTTGTTCAACAAAATTAGATTTTTCTTCTTTTTTATTTAATTTGTCTTCTTTATCTCTCTTATCTCTTTTTTTATGTTCTTTGTGACTTTTATGCATTTTAGGTGGTTTTTCAGATTTTTCTAGTTTTTTATCAGGCTTTACTTTAACTGGCTCTGGTGAACTTTTGTGTTTTTTTTTCTCTTGGTCATTAAATTCAGGTTTATTATTTTGTTTAATCGTATCTTGTTTAACAATTTTAGGCTCATTATTATACGATTTTTCATCTTTGTGGGACTTTTCTTTATTCTTCTCTTTTATTTTATCTTCACGCTTACTTTTATCCTTAGAATCTTTTTTATCAACCTTAATGTCGTTGGACTTTTCTTTTATTTTATCATGGTGAGAAGATTCTTTTTTGTCAGGTTTAGAACTACTTTGTTTTAGAGATTTGGATTTATCAGAACTTTCTTTTGTTTTTTCTTTTTTATCTTTATCTTTTTTAGTTTTTTCTATAGTTGATTCTTTAGATTTCTTCTTCTCTTTTTCTCTTTCTTTGTCTTTATCTTTTTTTTCTTCCTTATAATGGGGGCTGGTTTTATTCTTCACTTGAGATTTATCTGATGAAGATACCTTCTGTGATATTGATTTTGTCGTAGTCAATGGTAACTTTGAAGGTTGTATTGGAGACCCAAAAAGTGTGGCAAATGTATTATTTAGTTTCATATCTTCTTTTTTATTTTTTTTTGGTGGTGGTGATGGCAATCGGTTAGTATTTGTAATTGATTTTTGTTTTGATATGGCAGAACTCGAAGGTGCATTTTTTGCTTCAGCACCATCATGAGATAAAACACTAATCTAAAACATTAACATAAACATACCTAAATATAATATAATATAATTGTTACTATTAAGTATTGAAACAAATTAAAATATTATTAGTAAATAACAAAACATTAAAAAACAAGTACAGGTAGGTGCTTTACATGATTTACAATTAAAAATGGCAGTTTAAAATAGTATGCTGGGATCAATGATTTGAGAGGCTATAGATTGGTATGTGGCTGTGATATATCCGAATAATAATAATGTTGGAGAAATTCAAGAAAATGTTAAAAAAATAACTACCTTAATAAAGGATGAAGAACTGAACTTAACACTAATGAATAAAAGATTAAATACCTAATCTTATTACAAAGTGACGTGCACACGGTTCTTTATAAGTTACAAATCTAATATTTGAAAGGGTAACAAACTTAAAATGTCTAGGAGTGAATGTTAGTATAAATCTCAAAAGCCACGAAGAAATTAATTGAAGACAACAGCTGGAAATAATTGTTACTTTCATTAATATTAGTGTTCAATTCAAATTTTCCATCAGAGAACATACAAATTAGACTATAAAAGATGATTTTTAGACCTACAGTAGGTAATTTACACACATAATGCAAAGGTGCCAAAAAATTCTGGAGAAAAAGACTATTTATATCCAAATGAAAAATCTTTCACAAGATTTATGGTCTAAAAAGAAACAAATTGAACAACACATAAAATAATGAGAACTAATGTAAATTAACAAAATAGTTAATTAGCTAGACACAGTAGGAATTCTCAAACGCCATACACTGAGCTGGCCAAGCATTATTGGAGAACAGGATATCGGCTAATACAAAAAATCAAGGTATGGAGGCTAGATAAAAAAAATATTGATATGATATCTAAGACAGCGATAATGTAGCAGATTAAAAGTACATTTCAAATATCTAATAACTAACTTAACAGAGGAATATGGGGAGGCATAGAGAAAATTGGCCAAAATAGTCTGGAATATAACTAGCAATAATAAAAAAAAATTCTTAACTTTTTTTAAAATTAAATTTTGGAAATTGTTAAGTAGATTACAATAGTTATATTATAAACAGAAATCAACAATTTTCAACAATATAATTATATTAAATTTTAACTCATTGTGGACTATTCAAATAATTAAATTTAGTAAAATGTTCTACTTACTCCTCCACCTTTGATAAGCTTTCTTCGGAAATCTTCTGAGGGACTAAATACATATGTTTCTCTAGTAACTTTAGATATAGGTGGTAAACCACGATCTTGTAATTCCAATTCATATTTAAATCTAATTTTTCTTGGTTCATCATTATTCCGTATATATATGTCAATAGGTAATGGAAATCCAGCATATCCAGATTCTTTCACAACATATGGTGGTTCTTTAACCACTAAAATAAATCGCAATAAATAAATTACAAATTTGTATATTAAGCTTGAATTACACAAATTATACTAATTGTTATTGTATGATTCAACACTAACTTTTAATCTTAAATGTTAAATTCTACTAACTGAAAATTGTTACACCTACTATGCTACTAAATAATTAATTAAAACCTCTCTATATTTCTAACACGTGTAATACATGTCTAATAAACAATTAATTTCCATCTTTTTTTTTTACAAAAATTAAAAATTAGTATTGAATTATTTAAATAGTTAAAACTTGATTACTAAACATTATATTTAATATGAGAGCATATTAGTGGACAAATAATCAATGGATCTAATTCATGTACCCACTTATTTGTATGTGTTACACTGGTACACATGACAGCTGTCCAATCATAAAATTATAACAAAACAAAAAATACAAGTTTTTTATCTAACAAACAAATAGTTAATTTTGAAAATAAAAATTATAGACTGGGTTAGGTTATATTATAGATGGGTGACACTAGGTTATACAAATTATCCAGTGGCACGAAAAGATAATTTTGCACCACCACATTTGCACAGACCAATTTACACTACTGTAGTTATTATTATATCAAAACAAAATTTTAAATGTCAATTACAGTTTAAATTACTGATATTATTAATACTAATCAAAAATAATAAATACTAATTGGTTTATTATATGATTTATTATTTCTATTATTATTATAATACATTTCTTTTCAGATAGTTTGACAATTTCAAACTATGGTAATATCAAAGTCTTAAATCTCAGGATACTAAGTAATTTTAAAAATCTGACTATGGTTATTTTTTAAAATAGTGATTTCATATCAGACTATTGATTAAAAGTAATATTAGACTTCTTTAATATTACCTTAAAATCAGTTGCATTAATTAAAAAATAAAAATAAATAAGTGCAATGCATTATCATGTGTTAAACTAGTTAAATTATTTTATATTGTACTAAATGTTTGATGTGAAGAGATACCAAAATTCTTATTTATAAATACATATTATAGATAATGTTGACATTTAAATATAATATTACTATTCCATACTATATTACATGATAAGCCTTCTCCATCCCCGGTACCCAAATTTTTAATTTTGTTACATATTTTGATGGTGGTAAATAATAATAATAATAATAATTATTATTATAACTGTAAATTTGACACATAAAAAACGTCATTAAATTATAATTTTCACATTTTTATACAACTGTCATCATTATTTTATATAATTACATAAATAATATAATTTTTTAATTAATATCATCTGTCTCCATTAAAATATTATAAAAAAATTTTTTGTTGGAGAATGCCAATAATTACATAGATATAATACTAGTAATCCAAAACACACTTTTTTTTATTTTATAAAACTGATTTTCACTATTGGACTATAATGGGTATTTTTTAAAATATGGCACTAATCTTGTAAACACCTCACAGACACAGGGGAAGAAGCTTTAATAATAATAAACGCGTTTGACCTAAACCACCAAGGTGGTATTAATTATAGCTAATGTATTAGACATAACTATATACACAAAAAGAAATAATTCATGGTATGGATACTTTACAATGGTATGCTACTAACAGTTACGTACTTGGAAATTCATAAAACGATATCTGGTAAGGATGCATTTAAAAAGAGGTAATAGCAACAATAAAAATATAAAAGGGGTTGCCATATGGGCCTAGAAAAGTAGAAAAGGAAAAGAAACAATTATATTTACAAACAATTGATTAAATTAAAAACAGTAATGTATAACAGTTATTATTGTTATTAATATTCGATAATATAAAATATTAGTAATTTTTTTTTTAATTAAAAACTATTTATGAACAGTTAAAAACAAAGATAAGTGTTCGCTGTTTAGATTATCCAGATTATTTGTATATTAAGAGAGAACCTGTGAAGACCAATTTAGTTGTTTACAAATTTTAATATGTTAACTTAAATACATAAATATTATTATGCTAATACTTAATAAGTTGTTTTTTATGAATGATGTCATATATTGTAAACACTATTTATTCATTATTCTATTTTTATTACTATTAATGTAGTAACCTAGATTTGAATATTTTGTTGAAAAAATGATTAAATAATAATATTAATTAATTCAGTCTGCATTTAATAATATAAACATATATATTATTATTTTTAAATTTAACATGGAAAAGTTAATATTGTTAAATAATATGATCAAAATCTTAGTTAAAACATGTATTGTTTAATAAAATCATTAAAATGAATGTATTGTTTGAAAAAATTACTATGTATACATTCCTACAGCTTACAGTCAACTAAATTTAACATTAAATTGGTAAACACTAGTAATTTTGTTTAACAATTAATTTCATTAAATATTAAAAAAAAAAAAAAACCACTTACCTCTTTTTGGGTTCGGAAATGTGTCATGTAAATGGAACACAACTTTGTCAATAAAATAGTGTATGTCTGAGTTGTCTACTCCACGAACAAATAGTTCCCAGTCATGAGTGAACCCTTCAGGCGTTCGTTTGTTTCTGACAGATGCCTCATGGCCGATTTCAAATATAACTTTAACATACTAAAAAAAAAAATTAATTAATGAAAATGTACATAATATGACAGTAATAGAAACAGAATTCACTCAGTCATACTGTCTAACATGATGGATAATGTGTCAGCGAATTTAGTGTTTAAATAGTGTCTATCGGAATGACAATAAACCTAGAGCACATTTTCATCATAAGGGGGACTGTTTTTGACTGATTGAACACCTAAGTCAAATTAAAATCTGCCCGAAATTGCTACAAGAGCAACAACGGACGACAACGGCACGGTTGACAAATAACGCATATTTTAATACTTACTGGAAATGCCATTTTCATGGAATCATTGTAACCGTACAGCGGAAACCTTTTCAAAACTTCGGCAACGATTTGTACGAGCGGAAACCAACGGAATCCGGTCGACAGCAACGAATGATAATTTATAATCGTCAAACAGTATTATTTGTTTGTTATTTATTCAATTATAATTGTAAAACAGAGCGAAAATCCAAACGATTGACGAGCGCGTACAAGATAACAGACGTAATATTATCTACTTTCCAAATAAAAACACTCTTCATGCACGCACGCACGTAAATAAATAAAAAAAACGAAAACATCAAACAGCTGTCTATTCAGGTGGGCCACAACACACATAATTATTCACGTAATGGCGGAGGTCGTTTGATTTGATTTTAATTTTCCGATTATTCGTATCCAACTATAATTATTATTAAAATTCAAACTACAAATATATCTTATAACAATCAACGAAATCTTCGAACCGCACCAAAAACAAATTTTAAACCTATTCCGTCCAGAATTGTAGCTTAAATATTACATATTATGTCTTTTTACTTCACAGTTTCAAAATTTAATCGTTTTTAAATATTTTATTCATATAAATATAATTCATTCAACTATAAATTTAAAACTGCCCATTCATATACACAGGTGCTCGTATCTATATCTATGCTGTTCCTATGTCCTATATAGATGGCTTGCAAAGCCGACGAATTCACAACCTAATTAACTGATTATTTGAAAAAAATATTTACTCAAAAAAATGTATGGTCGGTGTAAACAAGTTAACACTAATGTGGAAAATTGAGAATCATTGAGGCATTACCGAAAAGCAACTCGACTGGGTCAGACATCTATTGCGTAAGCCGTAAAAATGGATCGCTGTTGAAAACTACGCTGAAATAATAATACCTACCTCGCAAAATATTAGAGTCCACTAAATCGCGTGAGATTAGACATGCATTTTTCTGGGAGGGGTCATGTGTATTTAAAAGACAACTCTAATAATAGATGCCTCTTTTTTGTTCATTTTATTGAAATTTTACCAGTAATAACTGGGGGTGTCCGGGCCTCTATACCTCCCCCTCCCCTCCGTAAATCCGTAAATCTCGATAATTGGAAAAACTTCATAAATTGAACTAAACGCTTGGTCTCCTGAGAAAACCTCTATAATTTAAAAGAAAATACATGTATTTCGGTCCTCTGGATAATTCGAAATGTCTGTCGATGGGAAACACTCTACAATTCGAATTTTTTTGCCAGAACCTCTATAATTCTAATTTCTTTATTATGTACATACGTGTGGCTAAGCTCAAATAAATGTATTGTAACGAATAAACACGGTACAGTATAAATAGCCTATAACTTAATTGACTCGTAATCAAACTAATAACGACAGCGATAAGATATTATCGTAGTTTATCTTAAATCACTTGATTTAATTAAATTTTTCGACTTTATCGTAATCAACTTCGTAATAAATCTTAATCGTATCATTTGACCAAAATAAACCTCTGCAATAGGTAAACAGTTGAAATCGGAAAAGTTAAACGTAGTCAGTCTGAATATGGGCCCCATAATTAAAAATTATTAAATAATAAATACAATTTTTCAGCTCTCTTTAATTAATTATTTTTTTCCCCTCCATTATTCTCACTCAGTAAATCGAAAACCTCTAAAAATCAAATTTTTAGCTCGGTCCCCTGAATTTTGAATTATTGGGCGTCCACTGTAATTTTATATAAGAATTCATAAAAATATTAAATTTTAAAACCAATATCCAAAATAATATTTAATAATTATTATTAACAGTTACAAAATCACTATAAGGTAGATTATATGAATGTAATACAATTATTATATATTCCCACATATGTGAGGAGAATGCACATTTTTATAAGTTTTCTGAATTAAGAATTAAAAAAAGAAAATTGTTATAAAATAATAAAGAAAAAATCTAATATATGTAACTTATAGCTTATAGATACAATTTATTACAAACTACAATAACAGTTTTATTTTTCTAAGCTTAAAAACTCTTATTCAGAGGAATTTATACCCGCATCTTCTGTCTCAGTCCAACTACCAGGAAACATAAAATCAATACTTACGCAGAATAATTAAAACTAGCTTAATTTTGATTTTAAGTCATTAATACATTAGGGCACCTTTTCCCCTTACATTCTTAACATTTTAATTCAATTAAAACATGAGTAGAGCTCGGATGTTTATGACTGCATATTTTTTCAGCGAAATCACAATTATACCTAAGTATGATTTAAATTCAATTCATGAAGTATAGATTTCAAATATACCAACTTATTTTGCATGTAATTCCATATTTGACATTTTCGAGCATATATTGATTATTTATAGATTTAGTAGCATATTTTAAACAATTTTAAATATAATAAAAATGTGTATGGTAACTATTAACCAAAGTATTTAACCTATGTAACATTTAAATTTTTGAATCATTTATATTTTGAAATAATATTAATCCAGTTTTTTGTAAAATTGTAATTTTTTAAAAAATTAATATATTTAATGCATGCACGATTAAAAGAGTATTTAATTTATTTTAAATTAATATTAACACCTTTTCTGCATATATTTATTGAAAAATAGGTATATTTGATACATTATTCTGTTGAAAATAAATTAAATTAAATTATAAGGAATATAATTGATATTTTGATATTTGTTGGCATATTGTTACATTTTAAGGCTTATAATTGCATTTTTTTTAAATTTTTAAATGCATATTATAAATAAATGTTAGTCGTTTACATCCGAGCTATAATTATCTCGTATTGGGGTAATACAATGTTATTAGTTTAATTAATTCAGTTTTTTTTCTTAGTTTAAAGAAGAATTAGAAAACAAACAATAAAATCCTATAATTAGATGGTGAAATAAAATAAGTAGGTACCTAATATATTGATTTATAATATTAAAATGAAAATAAATTTACACAATCATTGGACAACTTATACCAAATATTTTGTTAAACCATTACAAAGTAGCGAAATTGAATTGACAATTTCGGAGCATTGTTCACGTCAAATAAAACCGGAGGTAGATACAGACATATAATTTCTAATTTCTATTATTAGATTATTCTAGAACATTTGATATCTACAAATTTATCAAGTCATCATGGAAAATAAAAATTCCCAAGAACAGTAATTGTGATTAATGTGATATAGTACATTGTGCTATTATACTAATAACTATTATATAAATAATATAGCTATCCAAATTCCCAAATAATTTTAAATTTATTGTATTGAATAATGTAATATGTGCATCATATCAAGGATATTTTTGGATAGGACATTGTGTTTATTTTAATTAAATGGGTGCGTTAGAAATGAGGCTTACAGATTATGAAATTATATTAGATTACCTATGTGCACTGTAAATTATATAAATATTAACGCTTTGATTATCCAATAATCTTATTATTTTATGAATCATTCAACTTCCAATTTTGTGCTATAATGAAATAAAATAGACACAAATAGGCGCGTTCCTGAGGGGGGGGGAGGGGTGATTGCCTCTCGCGAAAGAAGTGCACTTTCATTGGCATTTGGCAGAGTCATTTGTCCAGAAGATATAATAGATATAATTCATATATTATTTGAAACTTTTTAGATTCTGAGTGTAGCGAAGATTGTATTGGTTTTACAAAGATGTTATTTTTTTATATATATACGAGTATACTGTGACAAAAATTTCTACCAGAAATCTTGCTTCGATATGTACGCGTGGCACCATTTCTGAAAGGAAATATTGTCTAGATGGTACTTTAGGAGATAATTTTTTGATTTTCCAAGCGGTTTTCATAAAATCTAGGAAAACCCGGTAAAAAACGAATTTACGAATACAATGCTTTTTATTATTTTCAATTGTGTAATTTGTTGTAATTCAGTTAAAAGTAATCGTAGATTTGATATTTGTGCAGAAACTTATATTCGCCTATTTTTACGTATTAAAACTGTAAAAACATTTGAACCATGTTCAAATTATTTATAAACACTTTAATTTTATGAGTAATTTTTATTTGATAGGTTATTGGTGCATAAAATTGTTAGACAAAACATAAATCCTTGAAAATTTAACAGGAGTTTTATTTGTCATTAATTATATTTAATAAATCGTACTTTGCGGTCAAAATAAAAAAAATTAATTTAATGTAGGATATTCTTTTTTATAAGAATTTTAATATCAAATTTTGACGAAAATTGTTTTAGTAAAAAATAATGTGAAACAATCTAGTTAGTGGTTCATACAAATTTTTTTCAATATAATACCTAAGTATATTATTGTAGAATGACATATATTATAATATATATCGTTGAAAAAGCGATACTATTAAATAATAAAATAATAAAGTAAAAATAAAATTATTAAAATGGTTAATACTAGTAAATAAATATATAAATAAAAATAAAATAAATTAATGAATGCGTCGCCAGGAATATTATGATGAGTTATACGACCAGCTTCAAATTAAAAATTCATCATCAGGTATATCACAGTCAAAATGTAAAACGCGACTCGATACATTCATTCATTTATTTATTTTATTTTTATATGTAAATAAAAAATGTGTTTACTATATTTATTTACAATACTATTAACCAAGCTCTGCTCAGAATTGTTTTTCGTAAGCAATGATTAATTTTTGCTTTTAGATATACATTCAATTATTTCCCACTATATCCTCCTACTTTCCCAACTTCTCATTTACGATAGTGGTCCACCTATAGTGAGAAGTATGTCAGTCTTTTTTACTTATTAACCGTTAATATTAAATTAAATTAAATTATTTCGTCTTCTCCTTCATAGTTAAGACACCCTTGTACACAAAACTACTAAATAGGTATTGCCTAAGCATTAATTTAATAAAAAAAGATCAAGGGAGGGGAATATGATACTAGCTATATCCGGGATATAGCTTCAGTAATTATGCGATTGGGTTAACAATTTATCCACATAGTACCTATATCAAATAAAATCTAACTAAAATAAAATGCTTACCTATACAGGGTGCCTTTTTTTATCATGAACCAACAATTATCTCTGAGGATTTTAAGTATATTTGATTTCTGTTTTTTCTAATCATCATGGAATTGTTTAAGCTTTATTTTAAAACCATTTTTAGTCTTTTACTCCTACTCCATGTAACTTAAATAAGCACACTTTTGATTTTTAAAAAGGTGGTTTCTATTTAGGGGTAAAAGATAAAAAATGGTTTTACAATAAAGCTTAAACGATTCCATGGCGATTAGAAAAAACAGAAATAAAATTCACTTTAAATCCTCAGAGATAATTGCTGGTTCATGATAAAAAAAAATCACCCTGTATATAAATACCACAAAAATCCTAAAATTGTTTTTAAAATTGACATCTAGAAAAGGCATAGGTATACCTATACGAGTTTAGTATATACCTATAGGTATATAAAATATCTGTCAATATTTAATATATATTAATATTTTTAACTGACTTCAATAATAAAACAAAAATAAACATAATAAAAGTATTATTTTCTTCCATTTTCCCATTCTTTCAACGCTTTTTTTGGTTTTTCTTAATTATTAAAAAAAAAATCAAAAACGACCTTTTTACACAACTACAATAAAAATTCAACAAAAAAGGTGTCATGGTTTTTCTATTATATCTCTAAAAGAAACCAACAAATGTAAAAATTTTAAATAATGATACAACGCTGTTAATTTGTCAGTTTTACATCTTTTATTTTATGATTATAGCACATTATTTTTGGTAGTAAACATAGTTCATTAAATTAAAATACAATAAAAACAGTAATGCCAAGGTACACACTAAATATTTGCAGTTTTAATTTTGTTTCTGGTTTTTCCAAATTATTTTGAAAACTCCTAGGAAAATCAAAAAATTACAATTTTAATACAGTAACTAAATAATATTTAATTTAAGAAAAGGTGATACAATTAATACATCAGAGCAAGAGGTTTCTTTTTAAAATGTTATTTACAGACAAAAAAAAAACCACACATCATAATAAAGCCAATAGATCTCTTACTCCGCGTCAAATCTTAATTGTTTTTTAATATAATAATCGATTGCCAGTTATGATGAATTCAGTTTTTCACCAGAAAAACACAAGTTAAAGAAGACATTCAAGTTATTATATATTTAGCAGTAGAAAATGTTACATACTGTCTAAAATAAATAAATAATTACTGAGTTGTTAGAGTTCATTTAGTTTAAGGGAACCTCTAGAAATAGTCTAAAATAATAGAAAAAATATATTACAATTGTCTGTAGTATATTATATTATAGTTACTATTTTCAGGAAAAACTGGACAAAAAATGCACTCAATGAAATAAATAATACATATATTGAAAATGTTTTAAAAAAAATATTTTAAAGAACATTTCATTTCGGAAGCAACTGTTTCTCATTACGCATGCTAATGATACCTATATTACCCCTTAAGAGTTAATTTATCTATTAATAACATTAAATAATAACAATATTTTATTTATAAATAAATATGAAAATAAAAACAAAAAAAATACTATCATGTTTTCCATCACAGTATATTTTACTAAAACCTTATTCTCTGTAAACTATTAGGTAGTACTTTTGTTATATTATTATTTATGTACCAAAGTTGAATATTGAACTTATTTTTATTTAAATATTTTATTGGTTTAAGTAATATTTATATACTTCCTAATTGTTCACTTAGATACAAATGTATAATCTATTTATTATAATAAACTTACAAATAATTATAAATGTATTTTAAAATCAAGGATTACAGGTTTTTAAAAAAAAATGTATAGATTTGAATTATTTTCTTTATCAATCTTTGTTAACTACTATTATAACACCAAATAATATATAATACTAGGACAAATATTTCTGTAGGTAACATTAATTGAGTAATATATATATATATATTTATATATATATATATATACATATTTAGAACATTCAAATTGTGTGTAGGACTTTGGTTATTCTACAAAATATATACAGCTAAAAAATTTAAAATCAATTAAAACATGGTGAAAATTGTTTTGACTATTGATTATTACTTATTATTTATGCATAATAAACTTCTTGGTATCTATTATAGTTCTGGCACTGATTTCAATTCATGGCAATAATGTGATGATGTGTTTATTGCTAAAGTTATACCACTTTTATAGCTGGCAGGTATAGTAATATGACTATTAAAAGTGGCATTTTCTCGTTTTTCCCGTAGAATATTTACCACTTGACCTGAAATAATAATTATTGACCATTATTTATTATGACTAAAAAATCAATTATCGAAGCATACCTAACACATTAAACTCATGCCAAAGTGGATTAGGATAAGAGGCCAAAGGCACGAGATCTGTACATGGGGTCCATCTGGATAGTATATCTTCTTTTCTTATCTTTAACACTGATGGAGAAATTAGTTGAGGCCGCAACAATTCCATAGATATTTTGCTCAAAGGATTAGTCAAATGTATTTGAGCATTCTCTGGATATAAAGGATTGTATGTTATACCATACATCATTTGATGGTGCCAACTATCTGGCAGTAAATAATCTGGCACGTGTGGACAACGTTGACGATTTAATGTCAATATTGGAACAGCACCTTAAATGAGGTATAATCATTTATGTATTTTAAATGGAGAATAAATATTAACAAAATATAATTATAATTTTTGGTTTAATACCTTTTTTAATCCAATTAGCAAGCCAAGGTTCAATAGATGTACCCGAATTTTGATGAGTGGCAAAAAATCTAGCACTGACCAGCGAATCTGTTACGGTTTCTAAAGTTCTAACCAAATCATCAGCTGTGCAACCAGCCACAGCACGTGATTCCAAATACTGAATAAGAGGAGCAGTCTCTTTACGCAAGTGAGTACCAATAGTTTGAACTATACGATCTATATTAAATGGTATTCTTAGAGCCAACTAGAAAAAAAAAATGATTCATGTATTTAATTTAATATAATGAACATATTACTCAAATTTTAAAATATTATGAACTATATTCTATTCAGAATAAGAACAGTAGTCGATGACAACAAATTTTTGTTGCCGACAATCATAGCCACTCCCATTCTTATAATATTCATTCTCTGGGACGGTAGTGCCACTGGTTCGCACGCGTAGAGAAGGCTATGCTCATACACACAACTCAGCCATCAACTACTGTTTTTATTTCAAATAAAACTGTTTAGATACATTGAAATAAAATAAATATTTTATTCAATATTTTTTTATTTGATTTATTTTATTAATAAAAAATAAAAAATTTAAAAATCTTGCTTATAAAGTGATATAAAAATAAATAATATTAATTGATTAATGACAATAACAGACATCAGCATCTCTTATGTATTAATTAGCAGTAATAATCCAATTTATTTATGTAAATGCTCCGTCAATACATAAAAAGCTCCCTTCTTCATGTTAAAATGTTGATTTGTTATCATTTTTATTCACGATTTCCATTATTATTTACTTCTAGGTTATTATAGAATCATGGTTTTTATTTTTAAATTTATACATTTTAGTTGAGGTGAACAATCATGTTTTCATATTTTTCAGGAGAATGGAAAATCTGATCATGGATTATTTATGGCATAAGATTTATAATTAAAAGTTATATGATGTATTTTTAATATTTTAAAATATTTTTGGAGTGAGAATAGTTAAAGGGGGTGAAACAGAAAATCAAATTCTTCATTCTTGTATTGTTATAAAGAAGTATCCTAGTGCATGCGCAACTTTAGGTTAATTGAACAATAGAAAAAAGGTAAAAAATTGATCATAAAAAAGAATCCATCACGAGCAAGTTAATATAACTTGTAAAACATAGGTGCAATTAGGGTAAAAATTCTAAAAAATGTTAAAAGAAAATTCATAAGATGAAAATATAATGGTACTTACTATGTTTTACAATTAGAAAACCAAAAAAATAATCAAATTTCTAATGAAATGCTAAGGTAGACATAAACAATAATATCACACATTAATAAACCTTGATATAAATTAATATTATATTATCCAAGATGCATTATGAAGTGATAATACTAATATCTCTGAAATAAACTTATCATGAAGTTCAAAAGTTTGTACTGAAGTCTATTTAGTAATCATGATCAAAATTATATTTTGTGTAGTGCAAATTTTCAGTCAGTGATGTTGGACGTTATGTGGAAAAAATAGGTAACTTATATATTTAAAACTAATCGGTATTAGTTTCAAAAATAAATATATTTTAATTTTAATATTTATGCAATTTATCAAATACAGCTATTCTCAATTTTATGTTTTTTTTTTTTGGTGCTGAAAACATTGGTGCAATCAGAATTTAACAAACAATTTTTTAATTTATAGACAAAAAAAATATATGGTAGTTTACAAGGCAATTGTCTGGTACATGTCAAATTTTGTTTTGTAATTGTGAATACAAAATAGTTATCATTAACTACAGTGAAACCTTACTAATACGACACTTTTATTACATTTTTTTCTATACTATTCTGCATTTAAACTACTTCGGTATTATATATTACTGGTGCATTATTTTTCATAACAGAAAAATATACATTCAGGTTAAACTCTTAGTGATCTGATTACCACTAGTCCCACATATATATTAAGAGATGATAAACTGCGACAATATTATCTCAATTTGTATAATGTTAATTTTTTCTGAAATATAATTTTGTCACAGTTTACATACAGATAACAGATATATATTGAACTAGCGAGGTCTAATTGTACTTACTTTTAAAGTTATTGCTTATTAGAAGTCAATAACTTGAAAAAAAAACAATAATTGATTAGTTTTACATAAATTATCATATTTATCATTATTTAAAAAATTACTATTAATATAGGTTTTAATAAAAGATAATTATAATTTTTTAAATGGTATAAGAAGAATGCTATTAAAATAAACATTGTTATTATAACCTTTATATACAAATTTAACAAATTTGTCTTTTAAAATGAAATTTTTTTTTTTATCTAGATTTGAAAATAGTGTGAAACATTTATTTGATTACAAATAACCAAGGCTATTTTAACTAAGCACCATTTAACTGAATTCTGCTCTTGGAGTTAATACATTTATATTTATATTACATTATTTTGGTTTTTAATTCATATTTTGAAGATATCATCAAATTATGATTACAAAATTGTTTTCAGCGCCAAAACCCACATTGAAATTAAAAAAAAGAAGAAAAAGTATTTTCCTTCTGTAAAAAATATTTGATCTTTCATTATTATATAGAGTAATGTGAATAACTCAACCTAAATATAATAGTTCAAAAAAGTAAACATTTTATTTAATAACTCAATTTTTAAAAGATTTAACTTGCTAAACATACCAGAGTATTTATAATAGAAGTAGCTCCACATGCTGATTTACCAATTTGGTTTATTTGAAGCTCAGCTGCATCACTTTCTGACCATATTACTTCTCTTACCCAATTTAATTCATCTACACGCATTCTTTTCATTGTATCCTAATAATAAATAATTAATTTAATAAATTAATAATCACTCAATACAATTTATTTTTTACCATTTCAACATTTCGTCTTAAACATCCATTCTTCGTCTCTTCTTTAAGCACAATGCATTGCATGTGATTTAGTTTTATTTCAGAAACTGGTCTGCGCATTTCATTTATTCCACTGTTTTGAGTAAACATGTGACCTTCTTGTGCGTTAGCATTAGCACCAGAACCACTAGGTACTGGTTCTTCAGACTTCATCAACATCTCGTCACTAAGGTAACAAAAAGATTATTTATTTTGTATCAATTTTTTTAAACACAATATATTATTATTATAATATATAGCATATAGGAAATAACTGTCATTACTTATTTCACTTTGCATAAAATTAATGTAGCAAATTATATCACACATTAGTTGTAACTAATAAAATTTAAAATATTTTTAAAGTATGTTAATTATCTATAAATAATTATTATTCACTTAGGTACTCACTTATAACTTGTTATACAAAATAAATAATTATATAATGTTCTCATTAAAACATTTGAGGATACCTACTTTAATTGAGTGTAATAAAATTAATTAAAAGTAACATAGGTAGGTAACCTATGTGTTGTGTAAATTAATAGATAATTATTATGTTACATTTATGCAATGCAAATAGGATACATGCAAGTGTTACAGTCTTTTTAAAGTTAATCCAATTTTTACTTTTGATGGGCAGTTGTATGAGGTACAATAACTTCTTCATCTTCAACTTCAGACTCGTTACCAGCAGTTGGTTCAGGGTCAAAGTCCATTTCTAGATAATCCATCAGAGGTGATGCACTTCTATTTTCCACAGGTAAAGCATTAACAATTGGTGCTTGCCGATCACCTCGATACGTGTATATACAACAATTATCATCAGAATCGTTGTCTTCTTGATCACAATATACCAAACTAGCAGCAACCATATGGTCATGCTGTTCAACAGCACTACCACAATTGGTACAAAATTCACTACTATCAAATCCATGTACCGTATTATTATTTAAGCTAGATAAAACAAATCGTAGGACTTTAAAAATCAATACCAATATAAAATCCTACATTCAGTTACCTGTGTGATTCTTTCGAACAGTTAGACTCTTTTTGATCGGATGGCTCTCCTCTGCTGGTACTAGGCCGATACAAGTTATCGTCGTTGTTGTTCATGTTTTTTAACTTGTGTATTTATGACACTAGATTAGCTATAATAGTTAAAAGGAAACACGACATTGTGCAACTGATGTGGCAACGCTTAAATTGGTACAGACAAGCGTTATTTCGTTTGCATTTTATTTAAGTTCTAACACGAAAAACCGCTAATTTACAGCAAGCCGACGATAAATAATCACTAAACAGTGTGCATACAAAATATTTTTATTTTGCGAAATAATAGATAAATTAATAATACTGATAACGCTAGTTGTACCTCCTGCCGCTACCACAGTTGTCAGCCATAGCATTCAGTGTTAACCAATCGAAGGCAAGAACAATTAAATTTCGATAAAAGTGTGATAATAGACAACGCCAGTGACCAGGAAAATATTATCTTAAACCGTTTACCGTACGTATTATCTATGGTCTAATGCAAGGAAGCAGTTTGGTGGGGAAGGGTGCAGGATGACTTGGGGATTATTATTCTGTTTCATAAAATCGATTCACGTGGTTAAATATATTAATGAATGGCTCAAAATAATATCATTATAATAAATAAGTATACTGGAGTGAGTAAAATTGAATACATATTTGTTTTATTCTGTGCACAAATATAATATGTTGAGAACTTTTAGTGAAAATGACGTCTAGCCAAAATTTAAGCATGTAGTTAGTAGTTGCGTCTAGAGGTTGTTTGTAGTCGTGTTATAAACAAATTCAAAAAGTTTGGTCAAAAGTGTTAACTGTTAAAAATAAATTGTTGATCCTATCAGTGAACAGATTTTTCAGCAGTTTTGATAACTATCAACCTGCCCAAAAGAGGCATAAATGCTATTAGGTGGGTGCCAAAAATTTGTTTGGTAAATTATATTATAATGATTCATTTAGCAAGTCTAAGTAAGTCTATAGTATATTCATTTTTTAGTGTTTACATTTTGATACGGATGTCATGTGTAGATACTGACCTATCAATTTTAAATAAATAGGTTACATACCTATTGAAAATGATTTGACGAAAAAATTAAAAACTGAAAATATTATACTACTTCTAAATTTGAAGACAGTATAGGTAATTAATAACTTTATTGAAGTACATAAAGGTATTTTATTAAAGCAATTATAATCTTCATAAATTATACAGTAGATATCTACATATAGTGTATACCAGTTAGGGTGTGGCTCTAAATCCAGGACTTTTCGTTTCCGTCGGAAAATGAATTCGAGAACGTTTTGTTGGCGACCGTAGATCTTAAGTTATTGTAATTTACGAGTCCTCCGATATTCCCGATAGAGAGTAAACGTAGGGGCGCTGTAGTCACGATAAACTAGCTTAGAATTTATCTAATAATACACAATATACACATTTAGAATTGAAGAGAATCTCAGCTATCACGATCACGTACTCTGTGATTGATGAATTTCGAAAAAAACATCGGATGTCTGGACTTTTTGAAGTTCAAAAATTTAATTACCTATTTACCTACTTATAAATTTTACTATAATTGATTTAAAAAATAAAATGATCTACCTTCGGTAAACAACACTAGTGTTGAAGATAGAGAATTTAATATTTCGTGATGGGTATATGTACAATTAAAATAAGATTAGATATAAATATATAAACCAATAAAAATAAAAAGATATAGATATAAAAGTTAATAGATCCACACTATATACAGACACAAATAACCGTTTAATAACCGATATTTTAGAATTAGAATATTTACAGATGATATATTTTTTTTATAAAGAAAAACGGGAATTAAAAAAAATTAAGACCAAAGTAGTCCACGAATTTTTGACCGAATAATTACAGCCAAACGTCTTATATTGTATTTACGAATTGTGGCGGGTAAACAATATACAGTGATACCTACTGTAAATGTAATATAATATAGTTATCATGAATATTAAAGATCTTAAATCTTTGCAGTGGCGGTCAAATGATTTTGTCTTTGGGGTGATGAGACTGATTTTAATTTTTTTAAATTATTACTATTGTTTACATTTTTTTTTTGTACATAAATATAATGGATACCTATGCGTCAATTCTTCATCGAAAATAGTTCGCTCGAAAATTATTCGAATACGATCTGGGTGTACGTCAGTCTGCCAGTGACAATATTAAATTTAAATCTTATTCGATAATGTGGATTATCTAATGAGTTATGTAGTATTAATAATAGGTACCTAATACTAATACTCACATCACATAAACCCTTACAACATTCAAGCAGTTAACACTCGCAAGTATTTTGTCAGTTACATTTTATTTTATATTTTGTTTTACATTAAATTATTATGGTTTTGAAATATATCATAATAAAAATGAAAATTTAAAAAAATGTGCAGATTACCTATAATAAAACTATACAACAATTGATTACCTTCGTGGTGTTGCTTACAATTTTTAATTGCAAATATAATGTGACAGAAATACAAATAAATGAAAAAATATAAAAATATAATTATTTACTAGCAAACGGCATCGTCGCTGTGTATTTTTAATTTAATGTACCGTTTTTTTAGATTCTGAATGTAGGAAAAAATGTATTGGCTTTATAAAGATGTTTATTTTTTTTATGTGATGAAAGCTTACTCCGATATAGACCCTTTTCTGGAAAAAATTTTTATTAAGGTAATTCTTTAGGGATGTCATTTTTCGATTTTCTCAGGAATTTCTCATCAATATATACGAAATATAATAAAGATTTTTTTTTCTGTGAATAACTTTTCTACCAGCAATTTTACTCCGATTTACAATGATGGAACTTTTTTCTAAAAGGAAATCTGACTGGGAATGTAGGAGGTAATTTTTCGATTGTCACAAGAGTTTTCCAGTAAATGTGAAAAACTGAGAAAAACATGAGAAAATCGGTACAAATATTAAACAAATATTATCGAAGAAAATATATAATGCTATTTTAATTATTTTACCATAATATGTATAGTTGACAAAGTATCACTATCAAATGAACTCTGCTCAGAATCGTTTTTACTTTCTGTGTTCTATCTTTCCAACTTTTTACATACGAAAATGGCTGCACCTGTCCCTATTATCCTAGTATAGCTTTGTTTTTTAAAATATTTATGTCATTACAACTTTTTGTCTGAAATTGTTTATATTCTTTTTATTTATGCATAGATATAATGATTTTTGTTCATTGTATTTATGCGCATATGCTTTTATATGAATACGTAATTTTTAATAGTTACATTAACTTATCCCAAGTTCGAACTCGATTCCTGACAATTTTTTCAAACCCTTTTCCAATATTTTAGATTTTTTGATTGGTAGCCTATCAAATAATAGCGCAATAACGTTAAGTTGTATCATATAATAATAACATTATTTAATATTTTAATCTATGATTATATTAACGAAAACAAAAAATCTTCGATTTGTTATGCTAAACCATGTCGAGCAGGTAACCGAGAAAAACCAAATGCATTTCGGGGGCACCTGGAGACTCAAGCCATCACTCGCTCGCTCGGACTGTTTTAATCAAAAATATTCTCAGATTTGTTTGCAAAACGTCGACGGGTAAGTAAGCATTTCCAAAACATTTTGAATTTATCGGTATAGGACGTGGACCTGCATAATGCTAATCGAAATATTACGGCCACTGCACTAAACTTCTATAATAGTTTTTAATTTATCAAATTACCTTTTTAAATGAACTACGGAAAAACTACAAAATACCCAAATTTTTAAACCATTATAACTCAAAAACTAATTAACTATTATTTTTACAACGTTGAAGTATATGAGTTTCAAAAAAAAAAATGAAATATTCGCGTGGACTAGATTTATATCAAATATAATAAATACCTACATCAATTATTAATAAAATCAAGTCAAAAACATAAATTGTATTATTTTTAATAATTTTTCGACCATATATTATAACTTCAGCCTTCAAGAATTTTGTAAAAGTTAACTTCCTTTTAAATCAATTAAATTAAAACTTAATTGTCAATAAACTAAATGCAGAAAAAAGACAATAGGAAAGGTTTGAACCCTTAAACCATCCTCCTTACGCACAGGCATGGTCTAGGTACGTTACTGTAGAAGAATAAGTCACCTAGGTATGTAGTAGGTAATTTGAATTAGAATATCTTGATATTTTGTGCTAAGCTCACTTTAAAATAAGCCAATTTAAATAAAAAAAAAATAAACTAGAAAATAATTGAAATGTAAATCGTACATCATTGTTACCTACAGGTATTATGTACCTATATTAAAGGGATAAAGTTAAATGAATTGTTTTATTTTTCATGAGAATATAAACTTTCGATTTCGTCATTCATTTTAAAAAGTAAAACTCCGAAGAATAAAAAAGCATAATCATCGTGATGAAAAGTCGGTAGGTACCTACCAACACCATAACTTTGTATAATATGTTTCAAACATAATATTTGCTTTTAATACTTCTGTGGATATACGGTTCCTTATTGTAATCATTTAATAATAACCAGTTTCATACAAGTATAGAATCAGTTAATACGATTTGTAATATGAAATCGACGTGACCAGGAACTATGTATGGAAATTCGTAACACTAAATTCGATAATATTTTGAAGACCGACCTTAGTTATCACAGTAAATATGTTCATGGTTCTCACTTATCATGATATTGATAAACGGATAGACACCAGTGTGATCGCACATTCACGAAAAAAACACTTACCTCCGACGTCACTGTTGTCACGTTGGCGGTACCGTTGCTAGGCTGTGGTCTGACTCAAGTAGGAGACCCGCTAAAATGCACGAGAATTGAATTTTCCGGTTCACATCACGCGGCTCGTGTATTCGAGTTCACTGCTTCCCGTACGACTGTGCCGGTGGCTGACAGTTTCAGTCGTTGTTGCGCTCTTCGTTTTGTACGAGCTGTTGACCGTTGTTCGTAATACTGGAAATTTGTCCAGTGTACTGAATATTGGTTCATATATTTGTATTACCTGTGCGGTTGTGTAAAGTAGTGAAATTATAGCTAGCTGATCGAACAGTTTGAAAGATTTAGAAGAAATACAATTTTAGTATTCAGTTTTTGGATTTTGATGGAAATCATTTGGTGAGTTTTTGCTATTTAATGTTAAATCTACTATATTTATGTTAAAGTATAGTATTTTCTATATGAGTAATATAATTTCGTAAGTAAGACAAAAACGATACCGAAAAATATCTAATAAATTTGAAAATCGAATTGTGGGGACACATTAAAAACCTTTGTTAGAGGCACTTTTACTCGTCTTGTATAAAATGTGCACATACTTTACAATAACCTATAGAAAATAATTTGATTTGGTTTCAAATTGTAAATAAAATTTGTATCCAGATAGTTTTCTATTTAGGTACCCAGATAGTACCTAAATAGAAAACAAAATTTCGTATTAAAATCTGTCGCATAGTTTTCGAAATGTACTACTATCAGCAAAATTTGAAATTAAAATGCTTATAAAAAACTTTTTTTTCTTACCATTTAAGTTACATTTATAATGAACCTCGTATTAAATATTTAATTTTCTATTAAACCAAACAATTTTATCCACATTAAATATTGAATAAAAACTAAACAAAAAATTGAATATTTAAAATGCTTACACAAAGATTACATAAAAATCGAAAGAATGTTTTGAAATTTTAAAAAAAAAAACTAATTAGTGTTTTTTATAAATTTCAACCACCCGATTTAACTGAATGACATCAAAAAAACAAAAATGAAAACAATGAAATCGTTATGTCGTAAACTTTACCGTTTTTTTTTTTGGTTTTCCCTAATGATGAAAACTGTGAAAACTGCTTAATGCACGAACTAAATCCAGAATGCAAAAAAGAAGGCTTCTTGTCATATTTTTTATTGGAGCAAAATTGTTTACAAAAAAGTTTTTTTATAGAAAGAAAAAGTAAATAAAAAAGCAAACATCATAATAAAATCAATGATAGGTAACAAAAATAGCTATAAAAATTCCTAAGTTTGGGTGTTCATAAAGTATTCTGTATCAAACATGAAAGTTTAAGTTTAAGTTTAAATAATTTATTTTAGGTTGGGTACATTTTGTAGTTAACAAATTTTCTAACTTTCTTGAATCAAGGTTTTAGTAAATAGCCGAAATTTTTGAAAAAGTAATTAAAAATTGCTTGGGTCCTAGATTTATCTTAATATGTATGTACTTGGTTATAAAAACAAAATTAATTATTCTTAGTGTTAAATTTTAAATTTTAATTGGAATCATAAAAATCACGGCATTTGACGTACCCTAGGTACTATTTTCGGATTTATGTGAATATATTTTTTGTCTTATACCAATAATCGTACAGATTTAACATGAGGTTTATCATAATTGTTTTCACATAATAGTAAAATAAATAAGAAGTTGAGAGTAATGTAATCATTTTATTTAACTGAACTTCGCTCAAATTCGTTTTGTGGTAACAATGATTTATCGTTGCGTCTACAGATTTAAATTAAATTACTCTATAATCGTATATCCTATCTTCTGAACTTCTCATCAACAACAGTGGTTAGCTCAGTGCCACCTCTTTTATTTGTTTTATCAAAACACCTCATATTATATTGAATTCTCATATTTACTTTTGTAACGTTTTTGATCAGATATGAATACCTTGAATGAATTAAGTATTTAAAATTACTAATGATTGTACTGTATGGTCTGTCTGTGTTCATAAGTACGAGTATAATATCTATACTAGGTATATTACATTCGTCATTATTAATTTAATTTTTCAACCTAAACAATCAACCTTAACCTAAAAAACACAAAGAAGTTCGACGAATAACTAATTGTAAAGATGCTTTTGTTTATCTTTTTTTTAGTAAAATTCTTTGGTAATTACAGTTATTATTATTTTTTTAAATATATTAATTTTTACAAATAAAATCAGCTGAACAATTAATATAACGTTATACATAATTGGTCCTAAATCTTCCTTCGATAAGGTACTCCACATTAAAAGTTATAAAATAATAGATACAAAGTATAGACATAAAAAAAAATTAATTGTTTAAATTTAGCTTTTTTATAAAGGTGCATACAATGTACATATTTTTTAAATTTCAAGCGGTTTTACTATGAATTATGTTTTTTTCTGTCTGTACACATCTTTTTGACCAAAAAATTTTGTCAAAAAATGACAAGAGACCTTTTTTGTTGCATTTTTAATCTTGTTGGTGATGAATAAATAAATCGAATTAGTTTTCATAATAATCACGAAAACCGGAAAACGAAGTAAAATGAAAATACTGACAAATTTACGGCGTCATTATTTCATTGTTTTAAATTTGTACTGTTTTCTACCAGAAATATTACTCTAATCGAATAACCTCAAAATACCTTTATTGTTGCATTTTGGATATAGTTGGTGAGTAAGAACGTAGTTTTTTGATTTTCCGTGTAGTTTTCTTATTAATCGAGTAAAATCAGGAAAAAACGGGAAAGTTACGGAAATTCAAAATTGTTTTTTGTTGTAATTCAATTTAAATTTTCGTAAACTTGAAATTTTGACAGAAAACTTACATTTGGTTTTTCTAGATGCTGAGAAATTTTAAAAATATTCTGAAAATATTTGAATTGTCTAAATTGTTGGTAATAATAAAAAAAATAGCAAATTTGTTTGAATAAATAGGAATACTTGAAAATTTAACGGAGGTTCAATATAAGTTGTACTTGGTGGTAAAAAAATAATTAAGTTAAATTAAATAATTTTTTTTGCAGTCACTTAAGATCAAATATTGATGATAATTTTAAATATTACGGAATTTCAAAACTTGTATAATTGAACTTCGCTCTGAATCGTTAGTAATTTTGTTAGCAATTGTTTATCATTGCTTACAGATTTAAATTAAATAACTTTATGTATTCTACCTTTTCAACTAAAGTGTGAGTGGGTGAGTAGCTCATCCATCAGCAGTATCAGCACTTTTTTTTTTATAATTGGTTATATTGATATATTTAATGTATAGTATAGGTTGGTATTTATATAAAGTGTTTTTTCTTAAAATCTGTCTGCTTAATATTTGACTCAATTTTAATATTAGTGCACATAATTTTAGTTCTAAATAGGTTAGTATTTATTAATTAATTTAATGTTAAACAGGTATTTGTTGAAAACATAAAAAAATTTACCTAATTAGTTACCTATTATATTTGTTTTATACAATATAATTTGATAAATAGGTATAGATATTAAATTATACTTTGAATTTTAACACATATTATGTAGGTTAGGTACCTACATACAACATTTGCAAAATCAATTAGATACTATAGTTTTAATGTCAGTATAATAATTCATATAATATGATGAATCATAAAATATTAAAATATGATTAATTATTTGTTTATAGAAGTTTTATGAAGTTATATTACTTCATGTTGTATTAATCTTCACGTTCCGAAAACAATAATGGTAGAATTGACATGCCCTGTAAACTATTATGTGCGTACCTACATATTATAAGTTAGGTATGTTATGGTTTATATTAGTGTCCATATATTATGTCGAAGGTACCTACTAGGATATAAACATCAGACGGTCTGACTCACAGACCGTGAATGGTCAACGTTTCCACACGGTTGGGTTCATCTGCCCAGTTGTATAGGCTCTGAAAAACGTTAATGATTTTCCACTTAAAGCGCCCACGTATACGTTTAAGGAAACTAAACCGGGTTACTGTTACGTTAGAAAAACGAATGCTAATTTAAGAACCTGCATATTTTCAATAAACTTATGTTATTCTGGTAGTATATTTTAAATTCGTGCCACGGTCAGATAATTTGTAATTAATGTATTGCGGTACCTATGTTTCTGCAACAGCTATTTCTAACTTACGTTCAATATTTAATTTTTTTTTTGTTCTTAATCGTAAGATGTAATTAAAAATAAATTCCGTTAGATCAATTCGTTACATTTGTATCAATATAGTTAGAGAGGTGACATTGCGTATATGAAATCTTATTTTCAAATAATGACAATGCGTATTATTATATAATTTCAATAATTAAGAAGTAATTTGATGGAACATACAGTATCTATATTAAATCATTTTTTAATCTTATGAATCAAGTCATTTTCTACATTGAAGGTTCAATATTATACACTTGTCTACCCTTATTAATTATTATGCTAACCTTAACAACCTTTACAAATAAAAATACCATCCTTTTTTTGTATTTGCTTACAAAATGAATACAGTTATAAATATAATGATTAATTATTAATATACTATGCAACTGTATTAATTTACTGCATATTTACTCTATGGTGTCATTCAGAATCTAACATCTACTCTCATTAGGTATTTATTTTTTAGGTATATTATGTATAAACAATATTTAACAAATATAAATTATGATTAACTTTATGTGTATTCACATCTCATATAAAATTAAATATAACAAATTATTTTAAAATTTATATAAGTAACTAATGAGTGGCTACTTTGTGCTCACTACGAAAATTTAAAATGTGCACCTGCCTCCTGCGTTTTTATTTTTCAGAAAAGTCACAAGGTTTCACTGATGGATTGAAACATTTTTTTTTTATGTTTACAGTGTAATCAATTACTTGTTGTCTCAGAAAGTATTAAATTTTTCAGAATTTTTTTTATTACTTATAAAATGAAGTGCTCTAAAATAATTATTTTTGTTATTTTATTTTTGAGGGTGAAACCATTACCTACTTTTGATTTTTAAATAGTGACTTACATTAAATAAATATATGACATATTAGTTAGTCTAAAAAATAGCGACTGTAATTAATAAATTATGGATGATATAATATTAGTTACAAATTAAAATAAGTATTAAATCGTAGGTTGAACATTTTACATGGACACATATAGAATTATTAAATGACAATAAAATCGATCCATTTAAAGAAAGTAATAGACCATTGTGTAAAAATGTATCTTTATTTTATTCTGAATTTATAGTCGTATAGGACAAAGTCATTAAATATATTTACTTATTTTCAATAATCTGTAATGCGTAAAAAATTATATTATATTTGACCTAAAAAATTATTTTCAATTTTAATAGTTTCAATAGGTATACCTGTATAAAATATTTGCTCAGAGTCATTATATTATGTTCCTAAATCTTGTAGATCTGTGTTTTTTTTTTTTAAATATATATTTCATTATTTTAAATAAAGAGCAGTAGGTATAGTATAGTAGCTAGGTATAATATTATATTGTTTTTAAATACAAAAAGAGCTGATACTGGGGGAATGTGTGTGTCACTGCTGTAGATGAGAAGTTGGGAAGGTAGGATACATAGTTATTTAATTTATATCTGCAAGCATTGATAAATCATTGCTAACAAAAAACGATTCGGAGCGGAGTAGGCAATATCTACGATTTTCGTCAAAATTTGAATATTAAAATTCTTATAAACAATTTTTTTTGGTCGGTTTTTCCTAATTATTATGAAAACCCTTGGGAAATAAAATATTGACCTCTTCATTGCATCAACTAGATAAATACAATTTTCTTTCAGAAAAGGCGTTACACTTAATACATCGAAGCAAGATTCTAGTAGAAAAGTTGTTCACAGACATACACACACAAAAAAAAAACACATCGCATCAATAAATCATTCACTATGTTCCGAATCTAAAACAAACAGTAACAAGGTTGATAATACTTAATCTTTACTTCTTGTAAATCTTTCTGATATTTATAACTATTTATAACCTTCAGATTTAAACAATATTATATTTCTATTTTAAAATGTCGGATATATTTGGTATTTTGAGATGATCAAAGTTTTGATTTTTAAAATTTAAATGTGGTAATTAATGGAATTAAAAATTGAACGCATGTGTTGTATTATTTACAGTATTTTAAAATGTTTTCTTAAGTACCTATTAAACTGGTATACCTACATTAAACAAATTATTTCTATAAAGTGTCATAATATAAGTAGAGAATTCATCTGTATAGGTATTGTCTAAAATTGATGGATAAATATGGATAGGTAGATGGATGGATCTTATGGCTGCTTGTTATGTTATAACAGACCAGAAAGTATATATAGACAAATATTAAAATTAAAGTTATAATTGTAATAAATGCATGACTAGGATTCATCTATAATGTTATGGTCAAAAAAATCATGTGGGGGTCTGTATATTGATTCATTTATTGAATTAACGTTTTTAAGTTTATGTGTATTAATCATAGTTTATTTATTATTATATGCAATATAATTTAGATTTTGGAATATGTCACTATGATATTTTTAAGGAATAAAAAAATCCATTATTTTCTTATTGATAGAAAAAATTACATTGTCAAATTTTTAATAATTTTGTTTGTAATTTAAATAAAATGCATATAATTCATACGAATTCCATAAAATAATAAAATATAATAATATTTAACATAAAAAAATAATAATAATATTCTTGTAAGTATACAATATATATATAATAATTCGTTTGCAGTATCTATTGTAATCGATTTATTTAAATGGATATTGAATGGATTTCCGATTATGAAGACATAATGTATAATACCTATATTTCATTATAATATAATATGGTATTGTTAGGTAAGTAGGTACTAAACACAAAAAAAAGTCTGTTCATAATTACAAAGAAACATGCTCTGGTGGATGGTGGTGTTAATCCGTTACACACGTTTTCGTCCTAAACATTCTTAACTTTGTGCTGAACAATTAGTATTTTTCTTTTAGCGATAATGCTCTGACTGTTCCGCTAAATAAGGAAACGTTTTTCATTATGTGACCAATAGGTTTCCAACATGTATTTATCATTATTAATTTTTTTTTTCATAAATTGTTTACCCACCAGTTTTGCAATAGAAGTATTTATGGTTTACGAACCGCAATATTTTGTCGACACAAAGATATTTTTTCTTTCTTTTGGTCTTACACCTACGTTTGATAATAATCATAATTATTACTATTATAATATATTTGTGTGACTTTTACTTTCACGTTAATCGATCATTTACACATCTCGTTATATCAAACGAGCAATAAAAAAGTGTGATTACCTTATATTTTTTCTCTGATAGTTTATAAAAAATTAATCATCTATTGATAAAACTGTTGGTGTGTGTACTGTTCACGTGCGCTCTGCTTTCCAAAAACACACCGACCGTAAAGTGTACGTAAAAGAAGCAGAAAACAAGACTCGAAAACTGAATATTATTGTAATTACTTACAAACCGTATCATTTTTCGGATGCGTGTCTGTTATTAACACTTCGTTTTGTGAGTTGAAATTTTCATTCCCTAGTTCCTTAATTCATTTATGATATAGGTATTATTAAATATAAAGTTTAACTAGTAGATGAATTGTTCGGTTGTTTTCAATTAATTACCTTTGTCAGGAGTGAATCTAGGACAAGATACCGGGGGAGAGGGAAGGGGGGGTGTTGGTTAAAAATGTATAGGGCACTTATATTAATATGTAGTGTTTGGTTTTTTCTCCCTATAATAATGAATATTATAATCTTGTACACTAGGTGACATAAATCAGCGGTTGATATATGATGTGGAGAACGTGAACTTACTACTAAATTTTCATATTCGAATGAGATTATATAGGTATTCAAAGCCACTGGGTCATTAAATCATACAAACCACGTAATTTCAAAACATGTTTAACCAGCTTCATTTAGAATTGTTTTGCAGTGCTGTTCTTGTTTTGGTCTTGGTTTTGCTACAAGATCAAGACTAGGGTAATTTTGCTCATCACTGAATTGGCAGTTATCTAATCTAACCAAACATTAAAAATTATGGCACACTGCACGTTATAATAAATGTATATAAAATGTTTAGAAAATTCAAATTCTGTTTCAAATCAGAGGGGGCGAGTAATTTGGTAAAGCCCTCAATTTTATTTCATAATGTCTCCGGAAGTTCTGGAAGTTATTTAAAATCTTTTTGGGTGTGATAGATACATCGATTATCATCATATCGTATGACGTCATTTTGGTAAATGTAGGTAATTTTCATCTCGGATCCACGAGACTATACAATACTTCCTGAAGGACGTGTAAACATATTTATAGGACTATTAAAAAGAAAACCAACGGGATAATAAGAAATGTAAACACGCACCTAATTATAATAAATGTGAACGGTATTTTCATTTATTTATTCAGTTTTCTTTTTATCTTTTTCTCGAGAACGCTTCCGGCTATATTATTGTAAACAATACCTACTTGTCGTTTTGATTCTCATTTCTTTACTATTGATTTCTACACTGTAATTTTATTTTATTTTTTTAATTCGAGTGAATTTAAGTTTCCAATTTTAAAATACTTTTGTGCAATGAAAATGTCAGCGGTATATTTATATTTTGTCTAGGTACAGTAAACATTATGATCGCGATTTTCTATGGTTTTATGTATGATTCTAACATTTAAAATTAACCTTAAAATATTACGATATTCAGGGGCCTGGGGTCATAGCACCCTCTGCTCCCCTTAATCCGGGCCTGCCCGAAACAATAATATGTACCGATGATATGGTACTTGTTTTTATATATATTTGTTACAAAATCTATCGATTCAATTTAACGATAAGTTACGTTAAATTACCGTTTATTTTCCACAAAGCGGACACGTAGTAAGTAAAATCTTCTTCTGCTGGATGTCCTGCATTGGACTATACAATGTGTTTTATTTGGATACAGAATACCCGAAAAAAAAATGCTCTAGAAAATATAATAATAGAGTTTGTGTTTGAACCGTATAAATCGTGTGTAATATTGTATTAAAATCATTGAATTGCAGACTATAATAGGTAGGTACCTATATATTATTATTATCATTTATCGGTATGGGTACTACTGTTTGAACTTGTACGCGTGAAATAATGACGACGTGTTGCCGTTGCATGATGCGAAGGCGGACACGCACACGAATTGCGTGTTTCACGACGACGACGACGAAGGTACAATATAAAATAATAATAATGTCTATAGGTACCTTCGTCGTTATCGTTGTAGTATTATATACTTAATATTATTTTCACGAGATATGTCTTATTGGACATTTGGGATTGAACGACGTATTACATCTGTTGAATTTATATGCCTTAAATATATAAGTGAGCTCGAAGACACTAGACGTCTGCTAACCAGCTGAAACACAATCGATTCGTCATCGTCCCGGTCGGATGGTGCGGTGGCGGTGGCGGGGATGAATGATGGGTCTCTTTAGAGCAAAACGCGGTTATATAGGTGTAAATATATAGGAGAAACGTGATACCATTGTTATCATACACCGTCATTATAATAATAATAATAATAATATTCTATTTTGTTATTTATTTATTTATTATCGTTATTACTAACCCTTTTCGTGCTTTATTATTGCCGCGCGTCGTCGTCAACCGACGACGGCTTTTTTTACGGTTGGCGGCCCAAACGGAACGATACGCGCGACGAGATGATCTCTTTTGTGTTGTCCGCAGTGCGGTATGGCATGGTATGTACACAAGGTCGTGTTTCGGGAAAACACGAGTGTACCCAAATACGTGTACAATAATATAGGTGAGTGTACTCGGGTCGCGGTTTTTTTTTTCTGCGTGACGGTCCCGGCGTCTGGGTTCGCGGATCCCCACGAAAATCATCGTATATAATATATTACGGTAGCATCACCGTCGAGTGTTTACGAGTGTTTTTGCGTACGTAATATATCATAATAATATTATTATTATATATTTAGACACTCGGTGTGTACGTAGGTATATTATACACGACTGCGCCGTGTGCGCGACCTATACGCGGACGCGTACCGCGCAACCGGAGCATGGGAACGTTTTTGTGGCGGAAATCGGTTTTCGGTCTTGTACGCGCGCGAAATGCGATTTCACGTGCTGCGCGGCTAGCGCGGCGGCTGTGAGAACGTATTATTATAATTTTGTACGCTGCACGTTATAATAATATAATATACTCGAATATTGTAGACCGACTACATTATAATATGGGTGCCTAATTTATACAATAACGCACCCCGCCACAAGGTGTACGGATGTCTAATGTAGCGCGAGACCGTTTCTATATACACCTGCACTATAGACGGTATCTGTAACATAGGTATATGTTTGTTTTCCCCCTCGTGCTCTTGTATACGTACGCGGTGTTTCGTCTGTTTACTATGTAACTTTTAGGTTACACCGGTATTATTATTATTGTTGTTGCTGTTAACACGCCATTACGGTTATTCGATACGCGGTGTTCGCAAAAATCGGTACATTTTCTCCGAACCTATATTTCCGATACGGGAACGCAAACGTTTAAAGGGCTTCTATAGACGCGATTTGTTTTCTCTGTCTGTTTCACGTGTAACACAGCTATATTTAATATTATAATATACTCTTGTGATTTTTTTTTTTTTTAATATCTTTATTTCTCAAGTTACCGGGTAATGTTTAAAATTGAGTTCAATTAAAACATGCAATTTCCTCGATTCGCGTACAATACATACTCTTCTTTATATGATACGCCGCTTATTTGCCCTAAACTCAACCACAAAATTGCAATTGTTGAAGTGCGGAATGAAACTACACCTCAATTTTTCGTATAGATACGACAGTAGTTAGTTCGCGTTCGAAACTTCGAGACAAGCATCAAAATTGAAATTCTGATTGGGTATTTTATACTGTATAGAATTATTACTGTCGATCTTCGCAGTACTCGGAGGAAATACTCATTTGCTTTAATTTTGTTTTGAATATTACACAATTCAATTTTAAACTTGTTTGTATTAAACCGCAGTTATTACAATAATGATATAAACCCATCGTATAGTGAACGGATCGCCAGTTAATTGTTTATTATATAAGATTACTCGTTGGCAGAAATAAAAATTGATTATTATCGAGTTTTATAATCATTTTGTAATAACCTATAGTTACTCAAAAATATCCAAATATGTCCTTTAAGACGGTAGTTTATAGACAACTATATATGTATTATATATTCATACCTGTGTAGTGTGTACACATTATTACAGTATCGATAAACAACGCCGTGCAAATTCGTATCTATGTATAATATATTTCTATTCAATAATAATGGTTCAATTCTGTTGTATTTGCATTGTAGAATATGACTATATGAGTAAATCTGTACAACTTCACTCCGCTAGACACTACAGGGCACACGACTGAATACAAATATAAAACAAGAATAAAACATACTTACTTCTCATGTGATGAAGCGGTGACTTGTAGTATTGGGTACTTGTACAATATATCTAACCAAACGTCTTTGTATATTCTTCATCAGGTACTACAACTCGCAGACCGTTAATAAACATCATATTATAATATATACAAACAATAGCCCTGTAATTCAATCCGTTTTTCAATGATTTTTTTAATATACGTATGACTTTATATTATTATTATATTTATTATATGATTATAGGTGGGTCTTATTATTATATTATCAATCTACTTGTTTCACGAAAATGATCCGGCGATGTTGTTTTAGATTCTGAGCAGAGCGAGGAATGTAATGGTTTTATAATGATAGCACTTTTTTTGAAAGATAATTCAACCAGGGTGGTACTTTAGAGAGGTCATCTTTTTATTTTCCCAAGAGTTTTCCCAAAAAATAAAAAAAAACGTAAGAAAATCGTAGTTAGCTGAGATTTCCTTATAGTACTTATTTTGGATCTTTTTAGATGTAGTACAATTTTCAAAACGGTAAGATTTTTGATCCATATTTTTAGATATTTTAAATTGTCTAGTTTTTTTTTTTTAGTTTTTATTTGGATAACATATTTTGATTTCTTGAAAATACTCCAAAATTTTAAACAAGGTTTCATATAGCAGTATAAAAATATCGAAAATCATCAATTATTAATTTTTATAACCACATTTTAGTTTAAATTTTGATGAAAATAGTAAAAATCATAACATTTCAAAACATTTTAATCGAACTTCGCTCAAAATCGACAATATTTTTTTATTATTTACTTGCTTAAATATTTTGAACAGTATATTCTTTGATTTACGATATCTGTTGCATAAAATACAATATGATGAAACAACAACATAAATTCCAAATCCTTATTATATTTTTTGAAAGAACTTAAAACCTAAAAATGATATAAAATATAAATTCAAAAGTTCAAAATGAATTTTACTAATCGGTATATCAATCTCATGAACACTTGTTTCGTTTTATAATTTTATATACTATTAACATTTTCTTGATAGAGGGAAACATGAGAGAAATTATATTATGCGATAAAGCAGAGAAAAAATCTACAACTGCAAATAACTATACGAAATTGGAGAAATATAACTAAAGATCGGAACGAATGGAGTAGAATCGTTTTGCAAGTCAAGGGTCACGATAACCCGTAAATCATGATTATTATAGGTTATAGGTGTAATATTATAGTAGTAACTATATAGTTATACTAGGTACCTAGTCACTATGGTAAAAAAAATGTACTCGAAGATATAATACCTGCAACTTCATTAAGTATCTAACCCTAATATATAAAGCTAAAACGTTTACAGTTTATTGATCATATACCTATGCCTACTACCTAGTATTAAAATAAAATTATATTTATTTAAACAACTTTCTCGTGCATTTTCCTTAAATTCAACCACATAAATATATATTTTTGTTCATAAAATACCACAACTTGCGATACTGCTGGTGGTAATTATTAGTTACTGTTATTCAATCGTAAACACATAAACATATTTTCACTTTTATACATAGTGATTTTAAATTATAATAGTATATATTATAGTGTGATCACTGATCAATAGTCATAATAATATATGTACATAAATATATATAAAAACTGATTAATGTTAAAACGAAAAACCATTACAGCATCATATAAAATCTGTATATTCTGTATATACAAAAGTGAAAATGATTACAAAATATAATTTTTTTCATAATCTTTATACTCGGACTATACTTAATTAAAATAATACTTCATGTAATTGAAATTTTGTTAATTCTAAAAAATAATGGGTAAAAATATACATGATGTTAGTAACATATTTAAACAGGCTGAATATGTTGTTGGGTGTGTTTTTGTAAGGAAGTTGGAAGAAAGAATATATAAAGTAATTTAATTTATATCTATACATAACGATAAACGATTCATAACGAAAAACAATTCTAAGTCTGTATTGATGCCAAGTATACCCAGAAATCAACAAAAATTATACAAATAATTGCTAGTTTTTATTATTAAGAAAACTAAAAGAAAAAACAAAAAATGATGACCTCAATGTACCAGTCATAAGAAAGTCCCTACTCATTTTTTTATTAAAGCTTGATATCTAATAGACAAGTTGTAAAACCAATATATTCCTTGCTTTGTTCAGAATCTGAAAAAAAAAATTATCTAAAATTAATTATCACCAAAGAATACTTTTGCAAGTTATAATATCAAACATTTCAAAGCTAGCAGAGTAAGCTTTCAATTTGTTTCGACATACGGAATAGCAGAATTTAGCATTTCATTTTAGATACCGAGCGTATCGAGGGAGCTTTTGGTTTTACAATGCTGTTTATTTTATTTCTTTCCCAATAAACTTGCTCCGATTTTTACGTGTAGCACCTTTTCTGAAAGCTCAAATTGTCTAGATTGTATTTAAAATAGATCATTTACGAAGCTATTTTTTAAATAAAACCACTTAAGTGGGAAAAAACGTAGGAAAACGTACAATTTCACGATTTCATTATTTTATAAAAATACGGACGATGTTTTCTACTAGAAAAAATGATTTAATCGAAAAATTACCAAACATCTTTTTTTGTTGCTTTTTTGATTTACTTTCATAAATTTACTTTCATTTACGATACCATCGCCAAAACTTTTAAGCCACTTTTGAACTTTTAAAGGATTTTAATTTTTGAGAGTTTTTTGCTGTAATTCGGTTATAAATACACGTAGAAACTTGAAACTTGGTAATAATACATATATTAGACTTACCTAGATGTGGTAAAATTTTTTTAATAAGCGTTTTGAAATCAAATTTAAACGAAAATTGCAAAAAAAAATTACGGCAATTCAAATTATGTATTACCGAAATGCGCTCGGAATCGTCTTTCGTCAAGCAATGGTTTATCGTCGCTTATAGATATAAATGAAATAACCTTATACATTCTACCTTCTCAACTTCTCACCTACAACAGTGGCCGCTCCCATCCCCAGTATCAGCTCTTTTTTATTATATAATCTCAATTGTTTAGATTTTTGAACTTTTAAAAATATTTTGGATTTTTACTTGTTTTAAAACTATTAATATGGTTTTTTAAATTATTGTAAATCTTATTATAATAATTTGATTCAATTTTTTTTCACGAACAATTCTTATATAGAATAAAAATATTAACAGGAAACTAATAAACTATACGATTTCAGTCTGCAGAGTAGTGTTGCTATATTATAGTATATATACTGTATATTATCCGGTATAGGTAATATGTAGCTGAAATTTTATTGTATTATTTTTATCTACTGATTTTAATTGTCGAACAAATATTATAAACATTCTAAATAACTGTTCGATAAATCATCATCGTCGGATTGTCCTTAATTTTCTATTTAAAACATAAATCGCATCTCGTAGATTAGAATGATGATTGTCAAAAAAATGCGAAACTAAATTATGCATTGAACTAGAATTTCTATAATGTTTATAATTCGTGTAATATTTCTGGTAGACATTTTTTAACTGACCGAAAAAAAATATTTAAAAAACACATAATATAGTAAAATCAATACATTCCTTGCTGCGCTCTGAATCTAAAATTGAATATAGTAACCTACCTATATTATTTCGTTTCGATACAATATTAATTTTGATATTTTACTGTTATACTATTTTACAATGTATATATACAATACAGTACTATATAGACTACATATTTATTTGATACATTTTTTGTATCGCTACATCCGCGTAAACAACATATATGTATTATATTTAGTTTTTTTTTCAATGAAAAAAAAATGTAATTTAGTATCATACTATCATTCGTTATACATACCCTGTCTAGTGGCTATCGTTACCTACATATTTATATACACGAGTATTAAATTATATTTACTGTTAAGATTGTAATACTATACATTTGGATGTAATTAATATCACTTATACAATAATTTATTCCTATAATGATATCGCGATATCAATGAATAATTTTAAATTATTCGTGTATAAATTATATTTCTTTTAAATATTATCTTTATAAGTACATAATACGGTCTTGGGGCAATACCTGTATAGTTACATGCCCCTCCTATGCTGTCCGATTTTCACCAAACCTCCACTTATATTTCATGATTTTAAAACCATTGCACGTGAGGATATTTTATTGTGGGGAGACTATCTTCACACAAGCCCCACATTTTGTCTGATTTTCATCAAACCTTTTTACACATTTTGTAAATCTTCTCAAAATAATTGAAAATAGTTTCTAGAATTGAATAACTATTAATTTTTAATTTACCTGTTCATGCACATAATGATGGGTTTACACATGCATGTTTATGTATGCCAGTAAACCATATTAGCATTGTATCACCAATACTTCCTGACGTAAAGTTGGAACTATCCAACTTTGTCTATGCTACTTGCGTCACTAAAACATGCACATGTTATCTATCACTAAACAGTTGAAACAATTTGTATTTAAATTAGGTGTTGATAATATTATGCTTTTCTAATGTTAAGATGCCGATATTTCATAATAATTCTAAATTGACTTATACGCGAACTTGTATGGATCGTCTGGGAGACCAACTTCACAGGCGTCTTAGGATGCCTACGCTTATTGACGCAAGTACTGTTGCACGATCCGTCGATCTTATCACGGCGTTCGATATCGACGAGAGACATGAAATAAAAAAAATAACATAGCAAAAAACGATCACGAAGAATTCTGTAATAATTTTCGAAAAAAAAAATACGACCGATGAACGTATAATATAATAATGTCGTAATTGGAAGTGTCGACGACACAGCTAGAGCGATATCTTCTCTATAATATCAGACGTTTATAACAGCGGCGGCAATAATACTATTATGATATCGTCGATTATATCCTCTTCTCCTTGTTTATGTATACGGAAAAAGTAAAATAATAATAATAATAATAAACCTAACCACCACGACAAATCGTCGTTCACATTTCTCAACCGCGATCGTTTATTGCGTTATCGAAACCTGCACGATCCGCGTGCGATGGGTCACGTGTGCAGTGGAATAATATATTGCCGGCGGGTCGACGAGCTTAAGAGAAACTATCGCTCGGCATCACGCTCGCGCGGATTTCGATAACTGCGGACCACCATCACGTTAAATGCACGATACATTATTATATATTTTATATATTCTGAGTAAAACAATAACAAAGAATCTATATAACTATATTAGAATAAATTTACCAAGATTTTTTAAATTGTTTTTATTATTAAAAATTGTATTGTATAGGAAAATTAGTGGCACTCTCATTTCTCAGTGCACTAACAATTAATGCTGCACTGCTATAGCCACCCCTAATAGTCAGAAATGATTAGTGGGTCTTGTTCTCCTTGATGGGGATTGGACAAAGGGTTAACAGCTCTATACCATGTCGTACAAAATACCGTATGTTCAGGAACCAAGTTAAATTAGTAATATTTGCTTGGAGGATTAGTCTTAAAAACCGTTAAAAAGAATTAAAAAGAAGAGAAGTAAAAATACCCAAAAACTTATTGACACCACTTATAAAGTGCCACGTTCTTTAAAAAAAAATACGGATTTTTCACCCAGTGGTGTGTTTGATTGGAACGTTTTCCAAAAGTTTCTTTAATGATGAAAAAAACCGTTAACAAACGACGATAAACTGAAATTTTTTGGTAAAATCTATATACCCGTACGTAAAGATTTGCAACATTTGAATATAAGTGACATCAAGTAGTAGTATTTTGAAATCAACATTTTTTTACGGAAAGTTAAATATAAACTTACGAATTGCTAATACACATTAAAGAATTCTGATAAATCATTATAATTCTCATGACTTCTCACGTTCAAATAGATACACAAAAAAAAAAAACAAAAAAAAGGTCTCCCATCAGCAGTACCTATTACTACTGTTTTAGGAGGGAAGTTAAAAGAAAGTATATATAGAGTAATTTAATTTACATTTTCATTGATAACGAAAAACAATTCTGAAGAAAAGTATAACTGAATACTCCGATTAGTCGTATTTTCACAAGGTAACCCAAAAATTAACAAAATAATACAAACAATTGCTGGTTTTTCTCATTTATTAAGGACAGTACAATGGAAATTTAAAAAAATGATCTTCTCAATGTACCAGCTACATTTTTCGTTTCTCTTAGGATTTAAAATAAAGAGTGAATAATCATTAAAGTAAAAAATTATTAACAAGGGATGGAGTGAGAACCAACTTAATATTTTATTAATGTTGCTATAGGGTGGTTTAAACGTCATGGAATTTGTTTTGGCTCACGAAAATCTAATATTTATTTGCTTACCTGTTTATAGGGTTGTCGCTAGTTATCGAAAAATAAAATAGTTATGACAAGATATAAAAGCTATTCTATGGGTGATCAATCTATAGTAAGATACTCATTATCCCGGAAAATATTAACTTTTTTTCGAATTTGTTGAGCATTATTTGTGTGGCGGCAGGGCGCGCGGCGTTTTAATAATGTACCACTAGGTACTTTCTCCCGACCCATATTTAAAAGTGGAATATCTCGTTAACGGATTGACGGAGATCGAACATTTCAATACCAAAATGTATTTAAACTAATATTCCATCTGTTTATGGAATTTTTAATATAGGCTGCCATTTGAAAATCAAAATTTAATAGTATACATTTATTCCTAAAAATAAAGGTGACAAAAAATAACATAAAAGTAAAACTATATACCTACTATTGATTCTTATATTTTCTATAAAACAAATTTTGAAAAAAGTTAGTATTTCGAGATGATGGGTGTCTTACGGTAAATTGATCGCTCTGTAAAAAATTAAAATTGAGTGTTCGTGGTAACGGAAAATTACAAAAATCAATAGGCCGTTTAATATTGTCCACGAGTAGAGAAAAGGTAAGCGAGACAACTATTTACGGGCAAGAAAATTAATTTTTTAACACTTATAGACAATAAAGGTTAGTGGCGATGGTATAGTCATATAAAGATGTGAATGGAAACGGGAAATCGCTGGAAGACACGTTATTGTTATTTTTTTTTTGTTGTCCAACGATCACAGAGGTAAAGGCGAGGGGGACCACTTATATATTATATATTTACAAATATCAGGCCACTATAGGCGATAATACGGTCCAGACCATCTGGAAAATTACCATTTTTAGACCGGCCACTTTCCGTTAACCGGAAACCGATTACGCGATTTAAGGCCACGCAGTGTTGATCTACAGTAATATTTAGTAGTAATGTTATGGTAGTTTTCTTATTTGTTATTTTTTATCATCAAATGGTTTTAATAAGTATTTAGTCTAAATTGTTCTAATAATACTTGTTGTCGTTAATTTTTTACAGAAAAAAAAAATAAATAAAACGTGTCTCGTATAATTTAAAATTCGATCATGCTGGTTGTCGTGGCGTACCGATACAATTAACGTTCACCGAATAATTAATTAAACATAATATACGAGTATTATAGTGTTTCATCAACCATCAAAATATTTTAGTGTTGGTATTCTTTATAATTGCTATCCTTGTATTATGGTCAAATCACTAACATTAAATTGTTATGTTATTTTGGACAAGTTAGATTTTGATCAAAATGAAGAAGTTTTTTCCAACGATATGTGCTAATTTTTCTATATACTTAGCTTAAACTTTTTTGCATAGTAAAAACGTCAAACTACTGAATTCTCTCGCATCATTTTCAGTAAACAATCAAATTGGTGTGGTCATTTTTTTATACATCGTTAAATACAGTGCATTCTACATCAAAAAAGTAAATAACTTTTAATTGAACAATAAAAAGTTATAATTTTCCTTTAAATTAAATTTTTTTAAGATAATTTCTTTTAAACTAGATAAATAAATTGTTAACTTGTTTAGCTTTGGGTATAGACCGCGTGCAAAAATATAGCGCCAATTATTATCGCTCAGCTATATTGGCTTTTGTTGTAATATTATATTTATTCTAGAGTTGATGCGTATAGTTATCAACGACGTATATAGTATCGTATACTAAAAGTATACGTAGTCTATACGTGTTACAATAGGTTTAATCAAATCAGTTTAGGGCGGTAAAAAATGTAGTTATATATAGTAGGTAAATATCTAACGTTGGACTCGTACGTGACTGTCAGCTGGTCAACGATAATTATTAAAGCAAATATATTTTTTCAAGTTCGATAATCATAATATACAATATTATATTATACGCAATAATATCATAAATAGAATATATTAATATTATTATTTATTTATTTATTGGCTTCAGTTGTAGGTTATTATTTTGAAGATTTAAAAATATTTAGTTTACATATTTTTCTAAAACCGATCAGTTCTGAATAAGTATATTATGTAAAAAAAATCAATTTTAAGATTTTGAAAAACTGCATTTATAACGAACCAAGTATATGTATTATTTTAATAGGAGTATTGTATATACGAGACCAGTGACGTATCCAGGATTTCCAATGGGACGGAATAGGATAAACTAAAAAAATCTTTACCTTCAAAAAAAAGGTTTCTCAAAATATGTAATCATATATAATAGAAATATTTGTACTTAGTTGAATATAAATAGTGTAAATATGTAATGATTATTATTTTATTAGTAATGATTTTTCAATGCTGAATAGTTTATATTTTTGTTTGTATTTAAAACGGTAAATGGGGGGGGGGCTGAAATCCCCTTTTTCCTTCACTCTGAGTACACCACTGAACGAGACAGCGTCCCACTAGCCTCATTTGCGCGAGCCATCAATGCAGATTATTAACGAATTAAGAAACCTTTACAATAATTATATAGCATATTGGACCGTGTGCTATTTTCATTGGCATGCTAAAGCAACGTTACCGTTATTAATAGTATATTATAAAAATTAACACTGCAATGAGGGATAAAATTCTGGAGTCACAAGTGAAATAATCCAGGTACATAAAGTCGCCATGCGGCATTGTCGTAGTGCAATGGTAACACCACGGGCAGATTCAATGAACATCGGTTTATTGTCATTTTTTTTTTCTCGGATGTGCCGACATAATATATTCAGATCCCGTTGATTTTTAAATGAATTATTCTTATCTTATACGGGATGTATACTTGTCATTATACGTTTAAAATTCATATGTTCCAAAAATCAAATTTTTCGTAAAACGAAAAAACTGGAAAAGGTTTTCTCACTACAAAGAAATTCAAAATATATTGTTCTTAATTTATGTTTAGAAATTTAAAACTAATATAAAAAGTTAAACTATTAGTTGTATTGTTTTTTTAATGTTGTAGTTTGGAACGTGAGTTGATAATAGTTGAAATGCAATATGCAAGTTTTCATATTTCAGATTGTCTAGTTTTTAATACGGGTTAAATATGTTTCGGTATCGAAATACACGAACCAATAGAACTTATTGATATTTTTAACACAAATAGCGCTATTTTTGTTGATTTTGGGCCTATTATTGTGCGTTTTGAAATGAACTGATTACAGCATTGGATTTATCTTTAAAAATCCTATAAAATAATATCGTTAACTCATTTTTATATTTTTTAGAAAATGTGCATATAAATTCTAGACTACTCATTTGCTAGTATACGGTATAATATTTTAGTACAGATTACCTATAGGTATTTTTAATAAGTTTTTTTTACCTATTTTTTTCAACGGCCAAGAAAATTCGCGCGTGTTTATATTTGAAATCGGGGTTAAGTTTAACGGAGTGACGGGCCTCATGGCACCTAACAACAACAACAATATAATAATAATAATGACGATGATAATAATAATAATAATAATATTATAATAACCCCAGTCGCGCGCGAAGCGTGTACGGGAATCGCATGGCGTGACTGGCCCTACGAGCATACGAAGTATAATATAGAGAAAAAAAAAACTAAAATTATAATAATATAAAATAAAAGAGACGGGATGTTCCGGTTTTTGGCGTAGGAGGAAGAACAACGATATTACTATTGTATACAATCGAACGCCTCGAGCAGTGAGCGTTGCGCATTATACGCGACACACTGTATGTTTTTAGCCAACAAACGTGCAGATCCTCGAAGTCCTGCTCCGGTAGGTGGTGGCGGCGGTGTTGCCCGGTTATAAAATCCATAATATGTTTGGTCTTTCAGGATATAATTTATTATCATTGTGGTGTAAATCGTTGAATTTTGTAAAATAAATAATATTTCACGAAACAGAGTTGTTAAAAGTACCATATTTTAGATTTTGAGAGCAACGAGAAATATAATTATACGATGTGTGTTTTTTTTTTCTGCTTATAAACAAATTTTACTAACAATTGTTCTCTATATATATTCTACTTCCATTTATTCATTACTAAGCATCATACACATTCTCATCCCTATGAAAACTTCCTGTCGAAAAATAAAACGCATCAAGAATTTAACATTCTCAAGCTTCTCAATGCCATTGAACCCTAAAGGTATGAGTGGAAAATGTAAGTCCTTTAATAAAGAGACATTATTAAGGTCACACATTGGGAAGGGGCAAGAAGAAGACATGTCCCCCTTTTTAAAATATTAAAATCCACAAAAAATTGTTTTTCTTGAGTGTTGACGCACTGCATAGGACGTACAGACTAGATCGTTATTAATTCATCCTCTCATAATGAACTTACATACGTAATCGCTTATCATAACTTTATAACGTTTTGTACAGGTTTCGTATTATTATATCTATATATAAATTAGTTATTAATGCGTATTTGGAAATCTGATTCCAGTTTGTCTCTCCCCTGAAAATGTATGCCCATGGACACTATCGAATCGTAATTTCACCGTATCGCATATGAAGTATATACTTTCTCGATTCTATGATGTACGATGATGATAGCCGACGAACATTTATATTATGCTACAAACGCGACTGTTATCACTGTGGTATTGTTTAGTTAATTGAATAAGTCAATACACAGTGAAAACTGATATATATAGTCACGATACAATAACGATATTGTCTACTTAAACTCCGTGTACAGCTATTACCTACAGCTGTGCGTAATACAAACTGATTTTACGTTGCTAACGGTTGCGATTGTCTCTCTTTGTATAATACTACATAAATTGTATCTTGAGAGCAAAAAAAAGAAATTTATTATGGCGTATGGTTCAACGTAATATTGAACAAATTATGATTAGGTACTATAACTTTGATGCTCGATAATTGCAAAATCGTTGATGTATATGTCAATATCGATATAATTATTGTATTGTTATTATGGTATATTATAATATCGTTGGTACAATATAGATAACAATAAAACATATTGAAATTGTTTACTTTGGCGGTTTGATTATTTGCAAATAAAAATATTATTCGTAGTACGGTTTTTGTTTTAACGTAGGTATGTATTATAAGCCTACAATATGAAATAAATAATTAGTGGGCGAATGAAACATGAGAAAGGAAAAGCGTTTATTTAAAAATATTGTCATTGCTGCGTTTTATTTCGTTTTTACAACGCGCCGTTTTACTTTAACAGTTTAACTGCAACTACAGGTATACTGTTACAGTTTCATCTCCGGACTAACAAGCGTAACCAATTCACTTATTTTATCGATTTTCCACTCAGTAAATTACCTTTAAAACTCTATGTAGTTTTAAAATTATCTATACGACTGGTTAGAAATCTCGATAACAATGTACGGGTATATAGATTAGTATTATACATACATATATTGTCTATACCAGTAGCCAACTGGCAACTAATATTATAATAATATGCGAACGATTTAAAAAAAAAAAATATAGATACGATAGTCAGAAATTCGCTTTGAAATGATTAAAAATTATCTAAAAAATACTTATAGAAACAAAGTAATGTATATAATTGACATTTAATATACGCACCATGGTATAAGTAACTTGTACATTGGTAAATTTTGTTTATATTAATTATACAACTGATGCAGTTATAAACCTGTTGATACTCTTATGTCAATTAATAAGTAAATATTCTCATTTTTAATAATATTTTGATTTAGTATGAGTTATATGAATCAGCTATTAACTGCACTAGTATATCATTATTTATTTTCATATTTTGTGTAATGATATTTTACTAATTAGAAAATGTGAATTACAATAACTAACACTAATCATATTTTGATCTGAATGAGACTGACAACGATACAACGTATTAATTATATTTCTGGGGTAAGTACCTACTTATTAAAGACGAGGATGATTTTATTATTTTCAATCTCATCATAAAATGATTATGGTTTAAACCGTTATTTTGATCTTATGATGAGTTTAAAAAGGAATGATCGTAAATTCTCGTTTATTATCACGATGATATGTACTTTTTTCTTTGAGTTTTTTTATGCATTAACGGACATATTTTGTATCGTCGTTTTATCATTATTACCTGAAGTACCATGGTTTTTTCAGTTATCTATACAAATAATTGATGAATATTTTTTTTGTATAATAATTTAAGACACTTTATGGGTAGAGTATTGTTTTAGATAATATTCTTTTATTTTTTTTAACCGCGAATTATGGTAGTTTTTTTTATGTATTTAGGTATACTTATAAAACGTGATTATTTCGATTTTTCCCACGCCATTATAATAATTTAGGTCCACCCAAAATCAATTTATTATTAAAAACCTAGACTATAAAATATTTTTTTATTTAAATCAATTATTGTCTATAAAAAAATATTCTGAACTTCTAAACTGTAAAATAATACAATATTAAAAAATTTAAATATTAGTATATTTCTTATTTCTTATTCTTGGAAAATTATAATATTTGTAATAATTGTTGTGTACAATAATGTAAAATACCACGGCATTATTATTTCACTTGAATTAAAAAATTAACACAAGTCAAAAACTTTCTTCGCTTCATTTTGAATTTATGAAAAAAAAAATAATAATAAAATAGTTACGAATCGCCAGAACATTTTCCTCGTTCGGCACACTTCCGTGGACGCCCTTGATAAAATACGCACTCATTGTTATATTATAATATATAGTATTATTATATTGTTATGCTCATCATTTAAATAATACCATAAGCCACGGGGAGATTTAATCTCTTATCTGCTCCTCCCCCATACGAGTGTGGCCTAGAATGCAAGTATAGCACACGTCTCGATATTTAGTTTTTCGTGAAATAGTTAACGGTACTTTACATTTTATGGATTAAACAAGATTGTTCTTCTTTTACTTTGTACGTATTCATGAAAACGTGTTGAATCTATAGATTATAGAGTAAAATATTTAATTTAAGCACATATAACCGGGGGAGGGGCGCGTATAGTAGTCACCTGTTTTAAAATTTGAAAAATAGTATTTAATAGAAATTGTTTACTGGATTTTCTGTTATTTGCTCAATAAGACTAGAGAATAGTTCCACCGCGTTAAGAGTAGTGACATTCCCAGGAATTTTCAATGAAAGTGAATGTATAGTAAATAATAATCATGATTCATAAATAAATCATCTCCTTATGTTTTAACTAACCGATATAATGAGAATTTAAAAGTTGGATCTAAAAAAGCTAATTTTTCTTCAACAAATCAATCTTTTTTCCGTAGAAATTGACTGAAATAAAAAATATCATGATAAAATTACAAAATAAATACTCATATATGTTGTACTTTTAAGAAAATTGGTGGGAATATGATCCCTAATCTCCCCTTGATTAGGCCACTGGTTAAAAGTGAATGTTATGTTAATGTTGAAAGTTATGAAAATATGTTAACTTAACCGATCCATTTACTATGTTATATTTCTATTCGTATAAAGTGTTTAATAAACATTGATTTTTAACTTATTTTTATTTCGTAAATTTTGTTGTTTTATAGAAAATGTTACTGTTATTATCTTGGACGTATCGTGTTCGTGATGCATGGCGCTTACAGTTTGTTCATAACTTACCTTAGTTTATTAATATCATGACATAATGCCCCTGTGAAGATATACCTCTCGTATACATTTGTAGAAAAATATATATAATATAATATATAATCGTTCCCAGATAAATATCATTTAAAACGTTTGTTGCATAAAAGCAATACAATTTATATAATAGGTCTTTGTGAAAAATAGTCAAATAAATCTATATAAATTAAAAATAACATTTAAAAAAGGCTGATACTGATGATGGGTATGCCACTTTTTTAGGAAGAAAAATATGTAGACTAATTACATTTATATCTGTACGCAACCATAAACCATCGATAACGAAAAATGATTTTGAGCTATTAGTCGTATTTTTTCCTCGTCGCCAAAGTATTCCAGAAATCAGTAATAGGTACAGAAATTATGCAACATATTGCCAGGCATTCACATTTTTTTAAATATAACTATAAGAAAAATCAAAAAATAACTCCTCAATAGACCAACTATAGATCAAAAATTCTACGGGATAAATACTACAAAGTTTTCGATTGGAGCTAAATTTCTTATAAATTGTTGAAAAGTTGTTTACAGCCAAAAAAACACATCTTAGTAAAACCAGTACATTCTTCGCTCTTCTCAGAATCTAAAAGTACAGCGAAAATTAAATCTAATACACAAATAAATCGGATTTTAGAAGTTTTACTTTTTTTTATACGTAAACCAAGTTTAGATATAATTCGATTATGTAAATTATCATGAATTATCCTCAAGTATATCAAACCTAATAAATACAGTTTGCCTATGTAATGCAATGTAGTGAACCATGAATTAAATACTACTTCTAAACGCCTATTGTGAATAAAACTGTGACACAATGTGGAAATGTTTCAATTTTTATTTAACGCATGTAATCTGTTATGTACCATAATTTATGAAAACTGGTTAGAATGTGTATTGTGCATTGTACCGACTTCAAAATCTATGTAAAGAAGTTTACAATGTATAATATTTTGGTTAATTCAAATATCATATATAATAATTATCAACGTAAGTCACAAACTGTTTTCAGTAGAAATTTATCTAAATAATAGAATAGTTCCAGTAAAACATAATTCCATTTAATTTTCGAATTTCTTGTTTTAAGAATACAATCATTTAAAAGGATCTAACTACTCATCTTTCCTGGAAAATATAATACAATAATTAATGTGAATGTACAATGTATATTTTATTATTTATTTTTATTTTAGTCAAGCAATGGTTTATCGTTGCTTACAGATATAAATGAAATAACCTTATGTATCCTACCTTCCCAACTTCTCACCTACAACAGTGGCCGCTCCCATCTCCAGTATCAACTATTTTTAATATTTAATATGTACCTATTTATTTTATTTACAAGATTGTTGGTTTTTTAACCTATAAACATTAAACAATGTATATAAATATGCTGTTGTTAATATTGTAAACTCGTTAATACCGAATAATAAAAATCGAATAGTAATTATATTTGAATAAATATTTATCAATTTAATGTTTACTTTTTTTTACGTCCTATATTTCTCGTCAACCATGACACAGTAAGTACTTAATTTAAAAATAATGTTAATATTTTATGTATTTATACATAAAGTAACTGGATCACAATAAATTAATGTGTTATACTTACTTTTATTAAATTTAAACAATAAACAATCGGATTAGTACCTATAATATTATAATTGATGCATATCTTTCAGTAGGCAACAGTAAAAAAAAAAATAAACTTACATATGACTAATAATAAAAGTATATAAAATATTATATTTTTTCTTTCTCTATATTTTTATATACATGCCAGTATTATTGTTTCAGTGCTTTATTTGTAAAAAGGTCATAAATGTAAATAAATAAAAATAAATAATATAAAAAGCTGATACTGGAAACGGGTGTGACAACTGTTATAGATAGGAAGTTGGAAAAGTAGGATATTGAAGAGAATTTAATTTATATATCTGTACGCACGATGAATCATAGTTAATGAAAAACGATTCTGAGTGGAGCTCAGCCAATCGTATTGCATTTTCAATAATGTACATCTTCACAACAATAACGATTGTTTAAAAAAAATTAAAAGAATATAATAATAACAAAAAAATAAATAAAAACGGTTGCCAGTAACAACTTTATTGTTAATCTTTTTTTTTTTTAATCTAAAGAAGTAGTTTTTTCTAATTATTTCGAATATTTATGATAATTTCGAAAAAATACCTTTTTTTAAGTACTAACTAGAGCCTAAATGTAACAAAAAAGATCTTAATAGATCCCTCGTTTCACCCAGAATCTAAATATGTACTTTAAGTATCTAGATTGATAATTTTGGGTACTCAATATAAATGATTCTCTGCATTAACAATTTAAAGTAATATAATAAAGGTATTATTTAAATAGATCTTTAATGTTTTAAATTTCAATAATGTAAAATTAAATTTATAAAAAATCGTATTCATGTATTGTTAATTAAATTCAATAAAATCCACAAAGTTACTACCAAGTCAATAGTCATGTAAAATTTAAAATGAAAATATTATGTTTATTATTTAGAAAGTTCACCATAATTCAGAGTATTACAGATTTATAACACAGTTTAGTTAGGTAGCACTTTCTCTGTAGACAACAATAATTCAGTTTGTTCGATGTAAAACAGAATTGTTGGCTGTCAAGAAGATCATTGCTCATACAATTCTTAACAAAACTACGTTAAAGCCATTTTTCTTTACAATTTATTTACGTAATCGTTATTTTGAGAATATTTTTTTATTTTTATTCAACACCCACTCTTGAAGATTTATACGTTTGGTTCTTTTTTCTCTTCAGTTAAGCTTTGTCAGTGTTGGTCACAAAGTTGTATTATATTATAAACCTGCGGACAAAATAGAACGCATAAACATCTGCTTTTCTATAATATTACCAATAGAAAAATATGCATAAAAAGCAAAAAATTATTTTGCTATCTCATTAATCGGATTGAAATTTGGATTTCTGTCCGTGACTCATTTTATTCATTGATCAATGAATATTACAGAAGCAGATGTTCCACAGTATCGGTTAATCCCACGTACTAGAGATTTCGTTTATCCTCTTGGCTACTGTGTGTATATTACATTATTATAAACTAATTTTTTCCACAGTCACCGTGATTCGCCAGTATTCCTGTTGTAAATCATTCAGCCGTAGCAGACATATCTCGTTGTTAACCTATATTTTTAGTACATTATCATTCATCATATAGAATCTAGAGTTTATCACATTCTCGTTCATATTGTTTGTTTACCAATTTACTAGGCCTTATTACTCCGACCCCAATTTTTACTTCGTTGATATAACTGTTTATGATAAAATAATGACGATGTAATACGTAGATAGTCGGTGACAATAATGCTCATAAATGCCATTTCCCTTTAACATAATAGACAACCATACACATATGAAACCGATAAAAGAATGAACCGTGAAAATCAATTCAATAGAAATTTTCGTTTACCTATGTCTATAGGCCACATTCATTTGAAGATAGCTCCCGCGGTGTGCGGACAGTCCGTGGAAGATGCAAAAATAACAACTCCGAAATAATATCTCCTATATATTAAGTCTATTTCATGATTTACTTGAATTTTCAGATATGAGAACCGTCAAGGTTTAATCGCAAATAACATGCCGAGTTGAAAAGCGGCGAATAATGTCATCGACCGAGGACGAAATATGGTCGTCTATTGGAATGATTGGCAAATCTATTGGTTGACAGTAGTGATCTTGTTGCAATTTTCTGCTGCTAATAGACCCCCACAATTTGTTACTGATTGGCAAACCGAAATTATTGTGCGGCTAAAAGAGGGACCAGAGACTCCTATTGGTAAGTATATAATATATATTTTTACAAATAAAATAGTATGTAAAATAATAATCCTCGTATAACATTAACTTAATATTTCAGGAAGTCTCATATATCGGGTTCGTGGTAACGATCTCGATGGTGACAAATTAGTTTTCGGTGTTAGAGAGCCAGGCGATAAAATCATCAGAGTGGAAAATTTTGGTAGAAGTGAAGCTAATATTTATTTGAAAATCGAATTAGATCGTGAGGTGAGGTGTAGAATATATAATTTACTATTAATGTATCTATCTAAATCATCATTTGATTATTTTAATAATTCGATTTTGTTTTCTAGACGAAAGACGAATATTCCCTAGTGCTTACTTTAACCGATGGTCACTTGGGAGATGGAAATTTCATTACGCAGAGTTTCCTTTTAATTGTGGATGATATAAACGATAATGCACCTATATTCAAACCATATCAAAACACGATATTTGTACCAGAGGACAGTCTACCCACGGTTATTGCAACGGTTGAGGCCACTGATGCAGACGAAGGCCCATATGGACAGGTAACATAGCAACGAATTAGGGTTTCACGGTCTGATGATCGTCACCCTCGTTCAAGTTCGTTTACACTGTATATATTAAAATTATAGTGTTCATTAAACCATATCACAACACGGTAAACAATAAATATGATTCGAAAATACCTTTACCTCAAAGAGTTGAAGTGTCCAAATAACAAAATATATTGCATTATGTATTCTTTCGCATTTAATAATATTTAATTAATGAAAATGTTCAAATAAGTGTATAATCGAATATAAATTATAATATAATTATGTAATATATAATTACACGTGTAGGTGGTTTACCATTTGCAAGATACGGACGCAGTAGAAAGTGGATTGTTTTCAATATCTACGGTAAATGGTCAAGGCGTAATACGCCTCATAGGAAGTTTGGATTATGAAAAAACATCACTTCATCAGCTGAAAATTATAGCCGTAGATCGAGCAACGATCGAAAAGGTTTGTGTACTCTAATAAAATCCGTTGAAATCTGACATTTTCTACAGTTAACAATTTAATATTAAAATTATTTATTATACATAACTGTTTATTTACCTAAACGTTTAATAAATGGACACTCCAAAAATTGTATAGAGAAATACCGGCACGGCAGCCATATTTGTAAAAGTGGAAGACGTCGAAGACCAACCCCCGGAATTCGTTGTTGTTACACCGGTAGCCAGGGTTAGCGAGGATGCACCTCCGGGGACTTCAATTCTTCAAGGTACTTATATTCCAAATTTAATAATTAGTATAATATATTATACAGTAACCTGTTTAATATATTTTATTTTACATGATTATAAACTAACAATTAAAAATTTTTTATGCATTAATTTATATAAACTATGTTTGATAATTATTAGTGAAAGCAATTGATGGAGATCGTGGTATAGATAATCGCATTGTATATTCAATTACACGCGGGGGCAATGGAATGTTACAAGTTGAACCGAATTCTGGTATTGTCTACACCACAAGCATTTTGGATCGAGAAGATCCATTTATTATTAAAACTGGTGCAATTATTATTGAGATCATGGTATGGTAAACGAATTATTATTATTTTGTCTGTGACTTAATAGATTAAAAAATTCCTTTTAGGCTACTGAAGACTCGAAAAAAGTTTTTCCTAATCCTTCAACAAAAACAGAAGTTACTGTAATTGTTACGGACGTGAATGATGAAACTCCAACGTTTCGTAGCCCTCAATATATTGCCGAAGTTAATGAAAATGCCCAACAAAATACACCTGTAAATTTTATTGGAAACTCGATACCCCAAGTATACGATTATGATCAAGGTAAAAATGGGACATTTCGTTTACGAATCCAACAAGGAAAAATTGGGTATTTTGATATTACACCTTCCGAAGGTATAAATGAAGCTTCATTCCTGATACGTGTAAATAGGACGGTTGATTTGGATTATGAACTTGTAAAAGGTAATTTAGGTATTTTAGAATACTGTGATAAAATGTTAATAAACATTTTATTTTCATTTTTTAGTGATAAACTTTACAATTGTTGCTGTTGAGACAGTAGCTAAAAATCCAAAATATAGTGCCATTCCCGTTTCCGTCTTCATTAGAGACGTCAATGATAATTATCCAGAATTTTCACGGCCTATATATGAAGTTTTTGTTTCTGAAAATTCTGTATCTGGTAAAACAATTGGAAAAGTTGAAGCTACTGATAAAGACTCTGGATTCTTTGGTACGAGTGGTATACGATATACAAGTATTCGAGGGAGTTGTGCTGATTTGTAAGTAAAATATTTTGCTCTTGGCCCTTGGGTTAGAAAAATACGTTGAGTTATTTTGTTTTTTTTTTTTAGTCTTAAACTAAATGCAGAATCTGGGGAAATAGTGATAAAATCTGACAAACCTGTATTTGATCGAGAACAAATATCTAAACATTTTTTAACAATCGAAGCACGGGACGATTTGGGTTTAGGAAATAGAAATACTGTTCAGTTCATTATAAATGTAGAAGACGTTAATGATAATTCACCGCGATTCCTCTCGTATAAGTATGAAACACGGCTAAAAGAAAATCATTTAATTTTTGAATCACCAGTCGTCGTCCAAGCAAAAGATCTTGATTTAAATGGTATATTAATAAAATAAAGTAAATCTATACCTACATTTTTTTCATAATTTAAAATGTTTAGGAACTAAAAACTCAGAAATATCATATCGTATATTACATTCTGACTACCAAATTGAAAGTTTCTCAATTGATTCTGTCACCGGTGTTATAAAACCAATAAGACCAGTAGACTTTGAAAAATTACAAAATCGCAAAAGCACTAATAGTATTAGTGGGAATCTTAGACCAATTATCTTAGTTATTCAAGCACAAGATCATGGTTCACCATCACTTTCTGATGAAACTCACGTTGTTGTTTATGTAGAGGATGTTAATGATTTTGAACCAAAATTTGAAAGCAGAAATTACGAAACTTCTATCTCTGAAGATTTAGTTGGCGGCAGTACAGTTTTACAGGTAAAATTTTTAATTATTACTTTATTTATTATACAAATTAAATTATATATATATATAAATAATATGAAAATATTTTTTAATCATTTTGTGAAATTTTGAAAAATTAATATTTTTAACGTTTAATCAAATTTTGTGTAGGTTAATGCTTGGGATGAAGATGGTTCAGCCCCTAATAACGTTGTAGTGTACAGACTGCGTAGAGGTGCAGAAGATAAATTTGTGATCGATGCATATACGGGCTTGATTAAAGTCGCACATGGTGCATCGTTAGATCCAGACAAAACACAACCAAAGACATACGCGTACTATTTAGAAGTAGTGGCAATTGACGGGGGCATTGGTGACCAACAACTTAGTTCTACTGTTAATGTTACAATAAAAATTCAAGATGTAAATAATAAACCACCGTTTTTCAAAGAAATGGAACCTGTTTACGTAAAAGAAAACGAAATGGTTATTAATAGTATATTAAACTGTTATCAATGAATTTTTCTAAAACAGTTTTGATTTTTAAATAGGTCGGTAGCGTAATTACGAAAGTCATAGCAGAGGATCCAGATGCAAAACCAGTTTTACGATATAAAATAGACGTGGATGATTCAGAAGCTAAAAACGAAGACGGAGTGATTGTTAGACCGACAGAATATGATTGGCCATCAGCGTTTGCTTTAAACCCAGTTGATGGTTATCTTAGGGTGGGTAAATTACTAGACAGAGAAAAAGTTGAGACTATTCGGTTAGCACTCGTTGTCGAAGACATTGCCGCAATAAATGGCAAACAAATTGTCCAAAGTAACTAAAATAATATTTATACACATTGAATTTAACAATTGATATTTTGATAGTAAATGTAATTTGTTTTGATTTCACTACATAGCCATTTTAATTGTTCATGTTGATGACGAAAACGATAATGATCCAGTATTTCGTCAAAAGGTCTACAAAAGAACAGTGATGGAAAATAGTCAACCCGGCGTACCGATTATCACCATAATGGCTGATGATGCCGATAAAAACCGGACGATTCATTATTCGATAGAAGGTTTAAATTAAATTATTTAATGAAATATAATACGATTATATATTTTCACAGTCTTAATATTTTTAGATTCGTCTATAGATACTGCAGATTGGATAAGATTAGATCCAGAGTCCGGAGAAATCGTAGTGGCAGGTCGTATTGATCACGAGCAAGTCCGCTGGATAAATTTCACAGTCCGTGCATCTGACAACGGAGTTCCTATTAGATATTCATTTACTGACGTTATTTTACGCGTAATCGATGAAAATGATAATAATCCATATTTTACTGAAGATACACCTACCAACATAACAATTCCAGAAAACACCCCAATCGGTATATAATATCTTTTTTTTTTAATAATATTTATTTTAATAACTTTTAATTACGTCAAAATTTGTAAAGGTTCACCAGTCGCTATGATTATGGCGATGGACGCAGATTCTGGTGATTTTGGCAAAATAACATACTTACTGGATCGTCTATCATCTCAAGTAATAATTTCTAAATTTTCAAATAATATTGAAGTTGTTTTTATTTAATCATTTTGACTAATATTATTTTTTAGGAGAAATTTACGATTGATACGAATACCGGAGTTTTAAAAGTGGCTGATGTATTAGACAGAGAACAAATGAGTACATACAATTTAATTGTTGAAGCATGGGATAACTATCAGTTCGGATACATTTCCGGCGAAAGTCGAAACGCCTTTAAACAGATTATGTGAGTGTCAATCGTATATACTATTACCTACTTTAAATAAGCAATTGTTTCAATTATGTAATATATTTAAACAGGGTGACGGTTTCGGATATAAACGATAATGCTCCGTTGTTTGACCATTTACCTTCTGAATGTGTTGTTGTCACAGAGTTTCATGCAGTTGGCGACATGGTTTTATTAATAAAAGCTTCTGATGCAGATGACCCAAACACGGTTAACGGTCGAATAATGTTTTCGATAGAAGATGGGAATGAAAGAGGTTTAGGATAATAATTTATATATAATAACTTTAAAAGTGTCAAAATAATGTTGAATTATTATTATTTGTATAGAGTTATTCGCATTGCATAGTGTTGATTATTGGTCTGGTCGTTTGTATACAACTTCGTCCCTAAAAAATCTCTATGGAAATTACAGTCTTCTGATTCGAGCCCAGGATGGTGGTGATCCTCAAAAATCAAGTCTGGCCACCGTGAATGTCTGTGTCACAGATGTAAACGATAACGCGCCCCGTTTTGTGTCACCTCCATATAATGTAACCGTTCGATTACTTCAAGTAAGACTTTCAAATATATAGTTTAAATTTAACCAAAATATAAAAATTAACCCAATTAATTTTAATTTAGAATATGACTATTGGAAGCCATGTAATTTCCGTGAAAGCTATTGACGACGATGTCGGCCAAAATGCAGAAGTCCGGTATCGTTTTAAACAAGATTTAATGGGCGATTGGAAGACATTTTTAGTGGATGATAAGACGGGATTAATCACTTTGAAAAAACCATTGAACAAAGAAATCCAAAAAATCTATCAAGTAATTAAATTCTGTAGTTTTTTAATTATGTTATTTCATTATTCAATATTTAATTATAGATTCGTATAGAAGCTTATGATCTTGGTGTACCGACATCATTATCATCTGATTTAGAACTTACAATTCACATAAGAAGTACTAATGACTTTCAACCTAGATTCTTAATTGACGAGATCACTGTAAATTTCACTGGTAAATTATAGATTTGTCTGATATTTATATTTAAAAAAAATAATCACAAATTTGTTTTATTTATAGAACACCGAGAACCAGGATCAGAATATTGGCAACTTATTGATACAGTTGACCGAGAAGAGTTAAATGATTTAGATAAAGCGCCGCCTCCGATTTGTTATTATGTAATTTCTGGAAACGACGAAAACCGATTTATTGTTGAACCACTTAATCATAGAATTTCTGTAAGTAAATCAAATAAATTAGACTAAAACAGCTAAAATATTGGTGGTTTTGGTTTAGCACCTGTTGCCAATGTCGTTATGCATGCAAAAATACACTCTACGAAAATAGTGATACTGTTCAGTATAATCAACCAAATTTATTATTACTATTATTATTTTTTTATTTATAGAAAAAAACATTTTACATACAATATTAAACTCCATTTTTCAATATTTAATTCTCAACATATATAATGAGTCTTTTAAAAAAGTAAATTTTAAGCTTTTTTTATCAATTTTTTTAAAACTATTTGTAATCGTAATTAAAAACTCAGAATTTAATAGAGCCTAGCTCTAGAATGTTGTTGTTTATAAATAAAAAAAATGTTTATGAAAATATTAAATTGACAATGAGTTATTACTATTTCCGTGAAGCCATTTTCGTTAGTAAAAATGGTCCCACCCCTTCCCCTAAAATAGGTATTGGGTAGTAGATCAGTTGGAAAGTCCTATCTTTAAGGGGGGAATTGAAATGTTAAAAATAATTTTAAAATTTTTCAAAATGGAGAAAATTTGAAAAACTGGTACCGGGTGGGTCCCTTATACACACAAGTTTTTGAAAAATGTTCTTTTTGGTTTGGTATTTAAAACCGGAGTAACAGTAGGTTGCCTCACATGTATTATTACTTCAGTGGCTTGGGTAAAAATCGCTAAAATAAGATGTTTATCTGTTATATTATTTTTCATTGAATACAAATGATTATTTTTTTTAAAGTCACTATTTTTAATTTTTTGCGAAATAAATATGTGGACGTTAATATTTAACTATAACTTCCTTCTTTTTTTCCTGGTTTTAAATTATTATGAAAATCTCTTCAAAAATAAAAAATGACCTCCCTAAACTACTACCCAGATTTCCTTTCAGAAAAGGTGCTACAGTTGAAAATTGGAGTAGGTTTTCTGATAGAAAATTTGTTAATCAGAGATAAAAAAAAAATAATAAAAATAAACATCAATGTAAAACCAATACATTCCTTGTTTCACTCAGAATCTAAAATAGTGAAATATTGACTTTCAAAATTAACACAATCACTTGTGAAAAATAATAGTACACAGACGAGCAACTACTTTTGCAAATTTTACACACCAAGGTAATAATAATATGTATATAATATAATAATAATATGGCGGGTATTAAAATACTGTCATAGTGGTTTTATAAAATAAACATAATAAAAAGTATTGAAAATAAACTATAAAGTTATAAACATTAACAAGTATATAATATATAAATTATCTACATTATAATAATAAAGGTTGCTCATGAACTCGACCGCGAAATACAAGAAACTTATGAACTAGTTGTGAAAGCCAGTGAAGATTGCTTGCACTCTCCATCGATTAATCACGCTGTTGATCAAGATGATGACAGTTTACTTAAAGTTTTTGTTTTCGTTAACGATGTAAATGACCATGCACCCGAGTTTATTAAAAGAGTATTTACTGGTGGCGTGACCACAGAAGCTGATTTTGGTACCGAGTTTATGTTAATAAAGGTATTATAAAAATAATAACAAAATCTGTATTTTTGTCACTCTTCAATATTTGTCTGTAATACATATTTTATTTCATTATAGGCAATTGACATGGACAAAGGAAGAAATGCAGAGTTGACCTATTACATAGTTCCTGGATCTTTGGAAGTATCCCTTGCAGAAGGCTTAGATAGCATACAATATCCACCTTTTATAGTAGATATAGCAACGGGGGTGATCTATTTAAATTTTGATCCTCAAAAGGGAATGAAAGGTTACTTTGATTTCCAAGTTTTGGTTAATGATACGGGTGGGTTATACGATACGGCGCGTGTGTTAATATATTTGTTGCGTGAAGATCAGAGAGTTAGGTTCGTGGTTCGACAAAATCCATCACAACTGCGGGAAAAGGTCGACGTATTTAGAGAGTAAGTTCTGCGTGTTTATAGTGTACAAAATACCTAAGTATACAAAATGTGTGATGATAATAATAATAATATAATATTAAAAAAAAATGATTATAATTTTTTATCGAACGATAGAATCCTAGGTAATGTTACTGGAGCAATAGTAAACGTTGACGAATACAAAGTTCACGAAACACATGACGGTAGAGTAGATAAAACGAGATCGGATATGTACTTACATTTCGTCGATCACCGCGACAATTCGATTATGGAAGTTCCTCATGTATTGCGAATTATAGATGAAAATATCGAACATTTAGATTCACTGTTTAAAGTAATTATAAATGCATTAATGTTTAGAATGTTATATTTAATCGAGATGTCATCGGCGATATATCATTGTAGGAATTCAACGTTCTTGATACACAAGCAGCCGAACCAGAACCGTTGCGCCGAGCTTCAATAAAAGATGACAATGTAATCTGGATGTGGTTGGTCGGTACCACATTTTTCTTGGGATTATTATTAATAGTCGTCGTATCGATTTGCCTTACGCAACGTTCGAATTATCGTAGACAACTCAAAGCAGCCACCATAAGTGCTTTTGGTACACACATTTTTGATTTTAAAAAATAAACAACCAAATCTTACTTTTTTCTTCTTTTTTTTTATTATTTTTATTGTTGTAGATCCGAGAACGCCCGATCACGTTAATTCAGCTGCTATTGGAGGCCGTGTACCAAACACAAATATGCACAGTGTTGCTGGATCAAATCCCATGTGGATGCAAGCATATGAAAATGAATGGTACAAAGATAGAGAAACATCACTAAGGTAAAACATCAAAGTGCTATGAAACAATTCATGCTATAAATAATCTATTGTTTGTGCTACAAAACGATTTTTCTTGTTAAACTTATTCATTTTAACTCACAATTATTGTGACAATTTATGATATTTATAACTAATAGCATTAAACGTGTAATCGAATAACGCAGAGAGGGGAATTGAGATTTATCAAAAATAAAAATCAAAAAAGTCAATAGGTTAATAAATCATTTTATTTTGATGATCGATTTTGTATCTTGTCCTCGTATATTATTCACTTATTTGAATATAAAATCGACCTGTTTAACATTTGAATGATATTAATATAATATTGATGCTAAATAGAGTAGTGCAGAACAAAGCATTTCTCATATCTCTTAAATGTTGTATTTGAAGTTCGTTATAAAACAATTCATTCAAAAGCCCAATTGCAACATTCGTAGCAATTTCCTTCTTTACCATAGCGAAAACTAGAAATTTACTTATGGTTTTTTTAATTGGCAATTTTAGTCAAACATCTGAACGTGATTCATTGGACGATAACACGACTACCAGTACCACATCACCCCAACCAATAGAGCGGTCGACGACTACATTATTTATCAAAAGGTTTGTTGAGCGGCTAATAAACAATATATTTTTGGTTCCAGAGAAGAAGGGTCAATTTCATAAAAAAAAAAATGTGTATAAATTAAATTAAAACATGATGGAAAGTGTAGAATTACTTTAAAAAAATGGCAAAGAAAAATAAATTTTTAAAAATAATTCTTCATTGGAACTAAATATATAATATACTTGTATGTGATATAGTGCCCAATAGTACCTTCTAAATATTTTTTCTTGAATATATTAATTAATATTACAGTAATGATTGCAACATACACACGGATAGTACTGACGACTACTATGAACGGACACGAATCACTGTGAAAAATCTAGAAACAACTGAGTTATGACATTCAGCTGAAAACAAACTCGACATATAAAGCCCTCTGACGTTCCATCATGCTCAAAACATGCCATTCGGCCAATAACTACAACGATTAGAGATTTTTTAAATGTAAAAATATGTATTTATATAGTGTGTGGTAGTGTGTATATATAAGGCTGACTCTATATTTTTTTTGTTTTCTAATCGGTAAACGCTCTAAAAATTGTATTGTTATAAGTGAAAATATAATATATAGTAAGACCTCCTTGTAACAGGCCCCCTATAAGGCAGAAATCTCCTTAAAACGGAAAACAACAACAGTTCTGCATAACCTATATCCCGTATATTTTAGTCCCCATATAACAGAAATTTATTACACAGAAAAATCCATTGGTACCGAGCGATTCCGTTATAAAGAGGTTTTACTGTATTAATAAATAGTTACATCTTTATAAAATAATAAATACCTTTGATAGCTATTACCGCCTTAGGTTCTAAAGGAATGTCAGTAGTCTATTCGATTTTCTGTAAACGTTAAAGGGATAATATTTCGGTGTTACTTGACATTTTATTGATGAAAAAAAAGATATTTCGAGACATATTTACAAAAGATGGCTAATAGTTGTTTTTGTAGAGTTGCAATTCAAAATATTGTTGAAAGACAAACAGTCCAGTTTGCAGAATTTGTGAAGCTGACATTCTTTCAAATATTATAAACGCTAAATTGTTTTAAATTTTACAATGACGTGCACGTGCTAGTCTGAAGCTGATAATAATATTACGATTGTATTCTCAAACCGTACGATATATTTAAAGCCATAATAACAATTGTATTTTTAAAAACACTCATTTGTCATTAATCTAGAAAAAAACTATGAAATATTATTATTATTATAATTATTGGTATAGGCCATTATTATAATAATGACAAGACATCAAATAATAGTTATTATATTTATAATGTTAAAATAATATACAGAATGTCCCATGAAGATACACCAATTTTAATATCTCTAGAGATAATAAAGATAATAAAATTCTGTTTTTGTTTTTTATATTACACGCAGGTATAATGGCTACAAATATTTACATTTTAATTAATTTGTTTGTTTTGGGTAAAAAAAAAGCAAACAAAAAATAACTTCTTTTTTTATTATTTTCGATAAATTTGAAAATAGCCATTTTATAGAATTTATTTTCCAAAAAAATCTGACGTAATAACTTTTTATTTCCATTAAATTCGTAGTTTTTAGTAATTTTTAAAGTTCTGAGAAAAAAGTGTACAGTCAATTAGCCATAATAATAATAATAATAATCAATTAGCGAATGCGATTACAACCTGCTTAATTATGGGTACTTTTCTCTGAACTTTAAAAAATTACGAATTTAATGAAAATAAAAGTTAAAGCATCAACGTTTTTAAAAGAATAAGTTCTATAAAATGGGCCATCTTCAAATTTTTTGAAAATAATAAAATCAAAAGATTCTGAACGGAGCGAAGAATTTATTGGTTTTACAATGATGTTTATTTGTATTTTTATTTTTTTATGTGGACACTTTTTCTACCAGAAAGCTTACTCTGGTTATTTGCAAGTATAATATCTTTTCTGAAAAAAAATATTCTCTGGGTCGTACTTTAGAGAGGTATTTTTTTTGAAATTCTCATTAACATTTGAAATAATAAGAAAAACCTGGTTCTTTAGGTTAAAAAAGATTGAAAGATTAAAAGTAAAGATGTCATTGGCAACAGTTTTTATTTATTTTTTGTTATTATTAAGTTTTTGTTATTTTAATCTTTTTTACACAATCATTATTGTCATGGAAACGCATATTGTTGAAAAAGCAATACTATAGACCGAGCTATATTAAAATAAAATATATTTCAATACATTCTTTTACTTATTAATCTTTCTATTTCTTTATTCTATACTTAAGCATCACTATCCACTAAACTCTGCTCAGAATCGTTTTTCCATTAGCAATGATTTATTGTTGCTTACTGATATACATTAAATTCCCTTCTTTATTCTATCTTCTCAACTTCCTACTTACAACTGTGGCTGCACTCACATGCGAAGTATGTTCGTCTTTTTTAAAATTTTTTACCGAAACATAAAAAATGAATTGAAGTATAAATATTTATATTCCTTATCCCTGTAAGTAATGTAAAAAACAGAATTTGATTATCTTCATTATCCCTGTAAATAATGCAATGGGTATATCTTAGTGGGACACTCAGTACTTTATGTAATAAAGTAGTTTTAAACATTTAATTTCATTGTATTGTAAGCATGATTATTGTATCTATAATAATTGTAAGTGTACATACCAAGCCATTTTTTTTTTAGTGAATATCCACTGCATATAAACTAACTCTTACAGAAAAAGCACCAAGAATGGGAAAACTAAATCTCAAAATGTGTGGAATTTCTCTTCTTCTTTTCTTTTTCCTTCATCCCATTTGGATTCATCCACTCTCGTCTTAAACTTACACTTAAACCCAATATCCAACCTCATAAACACTTACTGTCTTTGACAGTTATTCATTATTTATTAATGAGTTATGAGTTTATGACTTATAACTATTATTATTCACCATTTATTATAATACATATTTGGCCACAGAAAACCTTATAAATGGCCTGGTATGCACATTATCGGAAACCTAGACGTGTTTGTTTTAAGTTTTATAGACATTTTAATGTACAATGTACCTATATTATAATCGATAGGTAACGTCTGTGCAATATTATTATTTATTAAGTACTTTTATTATTATCTATGTTAATTTATTTTTATTTTTATATTTTACCTTTTTTAAGTATAAATAAGCGTGATGTGTATAACGCGCACAATGTACAATATATAGCTTACAAATCAAAATTAAAACTCTTAAAAATTATTATTATATTTTGCGCAATACTCGTATTATTATAATATTAAATCATGAAATATATTTTTATTTTTATGATTGTAAAAATAAAAGTTTTGTTTATCAAAATTTAATTGTTCTGGATTTAGTACCTATACGTCAGGGCCTAAAATATTGTGTCCCCTAAAAATCATAATGTGTCCCATTAATTATAAATGTGTGTCCCAAGTTCTATAACGTGTTTTTAGTTTAAAATGTAGAAATAACAATTTAGTATTTCAACATAAATGAATTTTGTTTATCTCAGTATAAATTGATAAAAATATTCTTGTTATCAATATTATACAAATATATAAACTTTAACCACGATCGACAATTATAAATATTATATAACCAAGCTGTACAAGCTTTAATCGTGAATATCGGTAACGAATATACCTTGTATCTATAAATATATACTATGTACTTTAGTACATATAGTACTATAGTCTATAGGTAATTAGGTAATCTGGAATTTATGATAACAGCTTTTAGTTATTATTGATGATGATGTGTTCCAGTGGTGGTTTTTAGAGGGGGCCAATGGTAGCACCTATGGACATTTTTTTTTTTTCGTAATTGCTAGGTATGTTCTATACGTAAATAAATAAACCATTGCTGAAAAAATACTATTCTAAGAGGAATTCAGTTGACAGTGATACTTTGTAAACTGTATATTGTATGTCATATTATGGTAAAATAACTAAATAGGAATTATATATTTTCTTTAATAATATTTATTAAATATTGTACCAATTTTTCTGTTTTTTCTATGTTTTCACATTTGGTTGCTGGGAAAACCCTTGGAAAATCGATAAATGACTTCCCTAAAGTACCTTCCCAGTCAAATTTTCTTTCAAAAAAAGTGCTAATCGGACTATCAGAATAAAATTGCTAGTAAAATTTTTTCACAGAAAAAAAAATCATAATATTTTACTAATATGTAACGTACATTTTCACGTTTTTTTTTCGGTTTTTTACATTTATTGAGAAAACTCCGAAGAAAATCAAAAAATTACCTCTTTAAAGTATGTTTCCAATAAAATTTCCTTTCGGAAAAGTTGCTGTATTGTGTACATCGAAGAAAGATTTCTGATTGAAAATTTATCCACAGATAAAACAGTTGTAAAATCATAAACTATTAAGTTTATGATGTCAACCAGGCACGTATACAGAGATTTTTGGGGTTCAAACCCCCTCCCCCCGAAAATTAATAGTTGTGTAATTTATTTATATAAATTTAATATTTTTAGATTCTGAGTGGAGCGAAGAAGTTTATGGTTTTACAAAGATGTTCATTTTTTTTTTTATCTGTTAACAACTTTTTTACCATAAGACTTGCTGGGATTTCTAAGTGTTGCTTCTTTCTGAAAGAAAATCGGTGTAGGGAGGTACTTTAAAGAAGTCATTTTTCGATTTTTTCAGGACTTTTTCCAGCAAATGTGAAAACCCGGGAAAATCGGTACAACATTAAACAAATATTAAAAAAATATACAAAACCTTTTAAATTATTTTACTATAATATGGCATATATATTGATGAAAAAGCATCAATATCAACCAAACTCCGCTCAGAATCGTTTTTTTGTGAGCAATGATTTATTGTTGCCTGGACGTCTTTTTTTAAATATCGATTATTGTACATTTTTTATAGACCCCCTCCTCCGAATTTTTTTTTTGTGTACGTGCTGCTGTCAACTTAAGATATTCCACATAGAGTCTAAAATGAAAGTTATGTATAATTTATGATAGGATCATAAACAAATTTTATCTTTTATTTGATATACGTCAATATGGTACGGGGCCCAATAAATTTAAAATCTCCCTAATTTATGTTTTATCAAAACCGCCACTAGTGTGTTAATGTAACTATCAATAAAATATTTTAAACTTTTATATTTATGTATTTTGTAGTCCAAACGCTATATAAATAATATAAATGAGTAAGGTAAGCGGTATATAAAAGGGCGGATAATTTTAGGTGTTACAACCTTCACAGGTTTCTTTTTAGTTACCATTGAATTAAGAAGTGTGTCCCCTGGTATCAGATTTATTTTAGGCCCTGCTATACGTGCTGTGTAATATTAGCAAAACGTATTTATAATTACCAAGCGTATTCAATCGCAACGCGCCCCTACCGCAGCCATCCGGACGGTCATTTACGAGAACATTGAGCTCTCGTTTGAGGTCACATGCTAATCATATAATTACATATTGTAACATGATGCGTGAATTTTCTCTCGTGTTAGTATTTTATGTGTTTGATTTGTATTGTTTTTTTTTTTTGCCGATCGGTTTTTAATTGTATACCTGTATTATACACATAAGTATATGTATAATACATCGTGTATGGTAACTAAAAATCAAATAATAATATCACTGATAGCAACTATGGCCGCTATTGATTTTGAAGAACCTATGGGAAATAGGGTACCATTTTAGATTTATATAATAAGAAACGTATGTAAACATGTTTGTTTTGTTTGCTTTATTCAATCTATGAACAATCGTTTTTTAACCAGCGCCGGCCCGATAGATTTCGAGGCCCGGTGCAGAATTTTGCAGGGCCCCATATATTATATTTATTTTATTTTCTATCGAACTTACTTTATTTAGGTACGAAATTAGTAGGCACCTACTTAGGTATATAAATAATATTTGATTATTTTATTTATTTGATTTAATATTTTTATTAGCTATGATTGGTACAATCTAGATTTTCGTCGATAACAACCCGTGTCCTAAAAAAACCACACGGCCATACGGCCTACGGGTCGCAATTTGCGTACTATTGGGACAATATTATTATGATTATTTATAGATAAAGTGATATTCAGAATACATAATTTGCGGGGCCGGTGCGGTCCCATCGCATGTCACCCCCCCCCCTAGAGCTGGCACAATTTTTAATAGATGACTCTAACTATACAATCAGAGACGTCATACGAGCCTTCTCGTAAACATAGCCTATATAAGAAAGAAGTAATGTTTTGAAATTCCTTGATAATTCCTAATAATGGGAAAATCACGACAAGATGGACAAAATATTTTGGTTGTTGTTTTCATAATAGTATTTGAAAATTTCAAGTATTTTTTACCTATACTATATTTTCGGATGAAGCTTTTTTAAACACTATGATATATATGTAATCTATAAACTATAATTGGCTAAAGGACTTAAAACAATAATATAACATTCATGTTAAAAGATCAAGTTAAAACTATTATTGTACTATTTAAAAATCGTAACATTCGATACAACTAATGAATAACTGTGTGTAGGGATGGCAACGATGTATCAATACTTTCTTTCGATATATCGATATTTTTATATAGTAATTTATTCTCGATATTTATCGGATATCGATATAAACAAAATATCGTAGTTGCCAGTTGGTAAATAAAACAAAATTCTTAAATGATTTTTCTTTCGTCATATTGTTATTAACTGTTATTTGAAGTCAGAATTTGACATACTGATTAGTGACCATAGAATAAAGATAAGATACACCATATACATACAATAATATACATCCATTATCCATAATTTATGTATTACCAAAAAAAAAAACCTATAAGTATCGTATATACTCTACATCGTATTATTCATGTTTTATTAAACGAGTTTTGAAAGGTTCATCTTAAATGAAAAAAAAATTAGCGGGTCGCCATTCATGAAAGGTCGAAAACCACTGGATTAAATAACTTACTTTGAGCAGAACTAACTTGTGAAGAATTCGTTCAAAGAATATAGATACTTTTAGTTTATGTATCGATATATCGATAACAGGTTGTCATCGATACATCTGCCCATTCCAAAATGTTTGCTGTTCACCTTATAAAATAGTTCAATGTTGTGTAATAGTAAAACTAAGAATTATTAATCGAACAAATTTAAATATTTAATTAATTTTTTTTTCGGTATTTTATCACCTTAATAATAAATTCCATTAGTGTATACCATATTATTATATCTTCTAAAAAAGAAAATTATATTTTGTACAAAAAATAAAATTATCGTCCCCCGTTGTGAAGTATTTTTAACTTTCTTGGAACATCCCATTTTCGTCCTTTGACTTTAACTATACCTTTTAACCCCTTTGAGGTGTTACTGAAATAGTTTTAATCAAAATCGTTCGTTGTTTACATATGCAAACCTGTTCCGATTAATCAAAATAGGCATAGATTTATTTTTCCACATTAGCTTGAATACTCCATTTCAATCCTTAAAAAGTTGAAAAGGGCTGAATTATTATTATTAGTTTAAAAGTTGGTAGCACAAGAATGGTCGATCTAAGTTAAAAGCCCTACAAGTTATAGGTACATTTTAAAAAAAAATTAGATGTTGGGTATTCTCCCACAGGAATGATGTTTTTTTCCAAAATCAAAAATATTTGATTAAACTTCTTAGTTCCCCATTTATCCCTATACAAAAGTCATGTAGACCAGTCATTTACTTACAGTTACTTCTTATTTACTCATTTTTTTTTTTTATCTTTTCTCTTTACTCCTCTGATCAACCTAGTGGCGGTTTGAGGAATTTTTTCTGGGAGAGGGGTTCATTGATATTATCTATATATTTAACATGAACAAATATTTTCCAATTGAACATGCATTAATTTAATTCAAATTGCCCAACTTTTACTGTTAGAAAAAATAATTGTAAAAATAAATGGTAATTTAATTGAAAACTTTAAAATATTTAAACAAGAGTTTCAAATGTATTTTGATGAGTATGAATGTCACTTGAAGAATGAGGCGACTCAGGTAGAGATCCTATTAAACTTGCTGGGACCAGATGGTTTCGAAATCTACAATACACTTAAAGTGAAAAAAGAAACAGTGTGTGAAATTTTAGAAGCACTGGAAAGTTACTGTATTCCAAAAAAAAACCAAATTATGGAACATTACAAATTTTTTACTCGTAAGCAAGGTGCTGAAGAACTGTTTAAAAATTTCTACATAGATTTGAGACGATTGATCAAAATGTGGTTTTGATTAATGTGAAGATAAATT